GGGGATCCCTTTTGGGGTTTTTTTGGGATTCCTTTTTTGGGGTATTTTTTTGGGGGATCCCTTTTTGGGTTTTTTTTGGGGATCCCTTTTGGGGTTTTTTTTTGGGGGGATCCTTTTTGGGGTTTTTTGGTGATCCCTTTTTGGGGTTTTTTTGGAGGTTTTTGGGCAGGTTTGGGGTTTTTTTGGGGTCCCATTTTGGTGTTGTTTGGGATTTTTTTAGGGTCTCATTTTGGGGCCATTTGGGATTTTTTGGGGTTGTTTGGGGTCCCATTTTTGATTTTTTGTGGGTTTTTTGGAGGTTTTGGGGCAGGTTTGGGGGTTCTTTGGGACCCCATTTTGGGGTTGTTTGGATTTTTTTAGGGTCCCATTCTGGGGTTATTTGGGATTTTTTTGGGGTTTTTTTGATGTCCTATTTTGAGGTTGTTTGGGATTTTTGGGGGTCTAATTTTCGGGGCATTTGGGATTTTTTGGGGCTGTTTGGGGTTTTTTTGGGGTCCCATTTTGGGTTTTTTTGAGTCCCATTTTGGGTTTTTTTGGGGTCCCATTTTGGGGTTTTTTGGGGTCCCATTTTGGGTTTTTTGGGATTTTTTTAGGGTCTCATTTTGGGGCCATTTGGGATTCTTTGGGGTTGTTTTGGGGTTTTTTTTAGAGTCACATTTTGGGGCCATTTGGGATTTTTTTGGGGTTTTTGGGGCAGGTTTGGGATTTTTTTGGGATCCCATTTTGGGGTTTTTGTGGATTTTTTTTTTTGAGGTTTTTGGGCAGGTTTGGGGTTTTTTGGGGATCCCATTTTGGGGTTGTTTGGGGTTTTTTGGGGGTCCCATTTTGGTTTTTTTGTGGGTTTTTTTGAGGTTTTTGGGCAGGTTTGGGGTTTTTTGGGGATCCCATTTTGGGGTTGTTTGGGGTTTTTTGGGGGTCCCATTTTGGTTTTTTTGTGGGTTTTTTTGAGGTTTTTGGGCAGGTTTGGGGTTTTTTGGGGATCCCATTTTGGGGTTGTTTGGGGTTTTTTGGGGGTCCCATTTTGGTTTTTTTGTGGGTTTTTTTGAGGTTTTTGGGCAGGTTTGGGGTTTTTTGGGAGCTGCCTGGATTCCAGGGATCTTCCTGGAAGAGATGGATGAGGGATTTAGGAAAAGATTGGGCTGTTGGCAGAAGGACTTGCCGGGCATTGGAATATCTTGAATCCATGGAGTTGGTCCAAACAGAGGTTTGGTGCCTGCAGGGATTAAAAATCCATCAGGTGCTTCCTTGCTTTGGGTGAATTTTGGATAGTTAAGTAAAAATGATTTTTTTGGGGTTTTTTGGATGTCCCATTTTGGGGTTGTTTGGGGTTTTTTGGGGTCCCATTTTGGGTTTTTTGGGGTCCCATTTTGGGGTTATTTGGGATTATTTTTAGGTTCCCATTTTGGGGCCATTTGGGATTTTTTGGGGATGTTTGGGGTTTTTTTGGGGATCCCTTTTTGGGCTTTTTTGGGGATCCCTTTTGGGGTTTTTTTGGGATCCCTTTTTGGGTTTTTTTTTTGGGTTCCCCAATTTTGTGGCCGCGTCCCCCCCAGGCTGTCCCCTCCCCCCTCCCCAAAAAACCGAGAGGTGACAAAAATTCCACCCCCGCCGGAAATCCCCGCGGGTGGCCCTTGGGGACACTTGGGGACACTTCCCACCCGTGACGTCACGGCCGGGAGGGTCCCCAAAGCCTCCCCTCCCCCCGCTGTGGCTTTTGTCGCCGGTGCCACCCCCGGGGTGGGTTTGTCCCTCGCTGCTGTCGCCGTTGTCCCCTCGGGGTGCGTTCGGTGCCACCCCCAGAGTGTCCCCAAGCCCTTCCCGGTGTCCCCAAGCCCTCCCTGGTGTCCCCAACCCATTCTTGGTGTCACTGTCCCCTCCCTGGTGTCCCCAACACCTTCTCGGTGTCCCCAACCCTTTATTTGTGTCCCCAACCCCTTCCTGGTGTCATTGTCCCCACCCTGGTGTCCCCAACCCCTTTCTGGTGTCCCCCACCCCCCCTCGGCGTCACTGTCCCCTCCCTGGTGTCCCCGACACCTTCCCGGTGTCCCCAACCCCTCCCTGGTGTCCCCAACCCCTTTCCGGTGTCCCCAACCTCTTCTCGGTGTCATTGTCCCCCCCTCGGTGTCATTGTCCCCTCCCTGGTGTCCCCAAGCCCTCCCTGGTGTCCCCAACCCATTCTTGGTGTCACTGTCCCCTCCCTGGTGTCCCCGACACCTTCTCGGTGTCCCCAAGCCCTCCCTGGTGTCCCCAAACCCCCCTCGGTGTCATTGTCCCCTCCTTGGTGTCCCCAACCCATTCTTGGTGTGCCCAAGCCTTTCTCGGTGCCATTGTCCCCTTCCCGGTGTCCCCAACTCCTTCTCGGTGTCCCCAAGCCCTCCCTGGTGTCACTGTCCCCTCCCTGGTGTCCCCAAGCCCTTCTCGGTGTCCCAAACCCATTCTCGATGTCCCCAAGCCCTTCCTGGTGTCCCCAACTCCTTCCCTGTCCCCGGCCCCCCCCCCCCCCCCCCCCCCCCCCCCCCCCCCCCCCCCCCCGTTGTTCCAGTTCCCTCCCCGCTGTCCCCGTGTCCCCTCCCGCTGTCCCCGTGTCCCCTCCCCGTGTCCCCTCCCCGTTCCTGTCCCGTTAAAGGCGCTCCCGCTCCGCTCTGTCGCCGATGTCGCCGCGATGTCGCCGCTCGCCGACCCCGAGAACCCCGCGGGGACCCCGCGGCCCTGCCGGTGCCTCTGCCCGGACCGGGACCGGGACCGGGACCCGAACCGGGACCGGGACCCGAACTGGGACCGGGACCAGGACCGGGACAAGAACCGGGACCAGAACGGGCACCAGAACCAGAACTGGGACCGGGACCGGGACCAGAACGGGCACCAGAACCAGAACTGGGACCGGAACCGGGACCAGAACGGGCACCAGGACCGGGACGTGAACCCGGACCAGAGCGGGTACCGGAACTGGGACCAGAACCGGGACATGAACAGGGACCCCCACCAGAACTGGGACCAGAATCGGGACCGGAACTGGGACCAGAACCCGCACCAGACCCGGGACATGAACCGGGACCCCCACCAGAACTGGGACCAGCACCGGGACCGGAACTGGGACCAGCACCGGGACATGAACTGGGACATAAACCGGGACCAGAACCAGGAAAAGAACCGGGACCAGAACTGGAACCGGGACCAGAAGCGGGACTTGGAGCGGAACTGGGACGGTCCCGACGGTCCCCAGCACCGGGACCAGAACCGGGACTTGGAGCGGAACCGGGACCAGAACCGGGAGCAGCACCGGGACCAGAACCGGGACTTGGAGCGGAACCGGGACCATGCCCAGCACCGGGACCAGAACCAGGACTTGGAGCAGAACCGGGACTCGGACCGGTGCCGGTGCCGGTGCCGGTGCCGGAGGCGCCGCCTGCTCGCGGCTCTCGCCGCCCTGGCCGCGCTGGCCGCGCTCGGAGCCGCCGCTGCGGCCGCGCTGGGCGCGCTCCGGGGGCAGCCCCCGCTGAAGGTGGGCACGGGGGGGGCTCTCCGTCCGTCCGTCCGTCCGTCTGTCCGTCTGTCCGTCTGTCCTGAGCGGGGGGTGCCCGCTTGTCCCGGGGTCTGGGTGTCATGGGGGCCGGCTGTCCGGGTGTCCCGGTGTCCGGTTGTCTGGGTGTTTGTCCTGGTGTCCGTTTGTCCAGTTGTCCAGGTGTCCTGGTGTCCTGATGTCCATTTGTCCCAGTGTCTGTCTGTCCTGATGTCCATTTGTCCTGGTGTCTGTCTGTCCTGGTGTCCCGGTGTCCGGTTGTCTGGGTGTTTGTCCTGGTGTCCGAACCGGGACCAGAAGCGGGACTTGGAGCGGAACTGGGACGGTCCCGACGGTCCCCAGCACCGGGACCAGAACCGGGACCGGGACCAGAACCGGGACTTGGAGCAGAACCGGGACTCGGACCGGTGCCGGTGCCGGTGCCGGTGCCGGAGGCGCCGCCTGCTCGCGGCGCTCGCCGCCCTGGCCGCCCTGGCCGCGCTCGGAGCCGCCGCCGCGGCCGCGCTGGGCGCGCTCCGGGGGCAGCCCCCGCTGAAGGTGGGCACGGGGGGGGCTGTCCGTCCGTCCGTCCGTCCGTCCGTCCGTCTGTCCGTCTGTCCGTCTGTCCTGAGTGGGGGGTGCCCGCTTGTCCCGGGGTCTGGGTGTCATGGGGGGCCGGCTGTCCGGGTGTCCCGGTGTCCGGTTGTCTGGGTGTTTGTCCTGGTGTCCGTTTGTCCAGTTGTCCAGGTGTCCTGGTGTCCTGATGTCCATTTGTCCCAGTGTCTGTCTGTCCTGGTGTCCATTTGTCCTGGTGTCTGTCTGTCCTGGTGTCCCGGTGTCCGGTTGTCTGGGTGTTTGTCCTGGTGTCCGTTTGTCCAGTTGTCCAGGTGTCCTGGTGTCCTGATGTCCATTTGTCCCAGTGTCTGTCTGTCCTGGTGTCCATGACATTCGGTGTCTGTCTGTCCTGGCGCCCAGTTGCCCTGGTGCCTGGTTATCCAATTGTCCAGGTGTTTGTCCTGGTGTCCGTTTGTCCCAGTGTCCATTTGTCCTGGTGTCCATTTGTCCCAGTGTCCATTTGTCCAGGTGTCTGTTTGTCCAGGAGTCCGTTTGACCAGGTGTCCGTCTGTCCAGGTGTCCATCTGTCCCGCTGTTTGATTGCCCAGCTGTCCATGTGTCTCTTTGTCCTGGTGTCCATCCCTCTGTCCCGGTGTCCAGTTGTCCATCCGTCCATCCATGTGTCCGTGTGTCCATCATCCAGGTGTCCGTGTGTCCATCCGTGTGTCCATTTGTCCATCCACGTGTCCATCTGTCCATCCAGGTGTCCATGTGTCTGTCCAGGTGTCCATCTGTCCACCTTGGGGACACCTTGGGGACGTTGGGGACATTGGGGACATTGGGGACATTGGGGACATTGGGACACTTTGGGGACATTGGGGACATTGGGACACTTTGGGGACATTGGGGACCTTGGGGACGTTGGGGACACCTTGGGCGACACCTTGGGGACGTTGGGGACCCTCCTGCTGACGTTGTCCCCTCCTGTCCCCTCAGGCCGCCACCGCCGCCCACGTCCTGTTCAGTGCCAGTAAGTCCTGAATGTCCCCTGATGTCCCCTGTGTCCCCTGATGTCCCCTCCTGTCCCTTGATGTCCCCTCCTGTCCCTTGATGTCCCCTGCTGTCCCTGTGTCCCCTCCAGTTCCTGATGTCCCCTGATGTCCTTTGATGTCCCTGGTGTCCCCTGTGTCTCCTCCTGTCCCCTCATGTCCCCTGTGTCCCCTGATGTCCCTCGATGTCCCTCGATGTCCCCTCCTGTCCCCTCCTGTCCCTGGATGTCACCTCCCCGTGTCCCCTCCAGTTTCTGATGTCCCCTGATGTCTCTCGATGTCCCCTGTGTCCCCTCCTGTCCCTGGATGTCACCTCCCCTCCCCCCACCGGAGTCATCTCCAAATTGTCACTCGGGCTCCTCGCAGAGGAAGTGCCACCTCCCCCATTGTCACCTCTCCCACGGCATCCGGGGCTGGCACGGAATGTCCCCAAGCTGTCACGGAGTGTCCCCAAGGTTTCAGTGTCCCCAGGGTGTCACGGAATGTCGCCAGGGTGTCACGGAGTGTCCCCAAGGTTTCAGTGTCCCCAGGGTGTCATGGAATGTCCCTGGGATGTCACGGAATGTCCCCAGGGTGTCATGGAATGTCCCCAAGCTGTCATTGTCCCAGGGTGTCACGGAATGTCCCCAAGGTGTCCCAGAGTGTCCCCAGGGTGTCACGGAGTGTCCCCAGGGTGTCACCGACTGTCCCCAACCCCTGTGTCCCCCGGCTCCCTCCTCCCCTGTCACCAGCTGTCCCCTCTGTCCCTGAGCTACCCCATGTCCCCGTGTCCCCACTGACCGCTGTCCCCTGATGTCCTGATGTCCCCACTGTCCCAGTGACCGCTGTCCCTGTCCCCTCTGTCCCCACTGTCCCCACTGACCGCTGTGGCCCCACTGTCCCCACTGTCCCCTCATGTCCCCCTGTCCCCACTGACCGCTGTCCCCAATGTCCCAATGTCCCCACTGACCACTGTCTCCTGTCCCCTCTCCCCAGTGTCCCCACTGTCCCCATGTCCCCCCTGACGGCTGGAATGTCCCTGGGATGTCACGGAATGTCCCCAGGGTGTCATGGAATGTCCCCAAGCTGTCATTGTCCCAGGGTGTCACGGAATGTCCCCAAGGTGTCCCAGAGTGTCCCCAGGGTGTCACGGAGTGTCCCCAGGGTGTCACCGGCTGTCCCCAACCCCTGTGTCCCCGGCTCCCTCCTCCCCTGTCACCCGCTGTCCCCTCTGTCCCTGATGTCCCCCTGTCCCCCCTGACCGCTGTCCCTGTCCCCCTGTCCCCCTGTCCCCCTGTCCGCTGTCATTGTCCCAGGGTGTCACGGAATGTCCCCAAGGTGTCCCAGAGTGTCCCCAGGGTGTCACGGAGTGTCCCCAGGGTGTCACCGACTGTCCCCAACCCCTGTGTCCCCCGGCTCCCTCCTCCCCTGTCACCAGCTGTCCCCTCTGTCCCTGAGCTACCCCATGTCCCCGTGTCCCCACTGACCGCTGTCCCCTGATGTCCTGATGTCCCCACTGTCCCAGTGACCGCTGTCCCTGTCCCCTCTGTCCCCACTGTCCCCACTGACCGCTGTGGCCCCACTGTCCCCACTGTCCCCTCATGTCCCCCTGTCCCCACTGACCGCTGTCCCCAATGTCCCAATGTCCCCACTGACCACTGTCTCCTGTCCCCTCTCCCCAGTGTCCCCACTGTCCCCATGTCCCCCCTGACGGCTGTCCCTGTCCCCACTGTCCCCTCTGTCCCTGATGTCCCCCTGTCCCCCCGACCGCTGTCCCCAATGTCCCACTGTCCCCACTGTCCCCATGTCCCCTCATGTCCCCATGTCCCCACTGACCGCTGTCCCTGTCCCCAATGTCCTGATGTCCCCAATGTCCCCCTTGTCCCCGATGTCCCCCCTGACGGCTGTCCCTGTCCCCGATGTCCCCTGATGTCCCCCTGTCCCCTGATGTCCCCCTGTCCCCCATGTCCCCCTGTCCCCCCCGACCGCTGTCCCTGTCCCCCTGTCCCCCTGTCCCCCTGTCCCTCCTGACCGCTGTCCCTGTCCCCAGGCTCGCCATCCCCGTCGCTGTCCCTGCGCTACGAGCCCGGCGTCCAGGGCGTTTTCCTGAGCGGTGACATCCAGCTGGACACCCCGAGGACGCTGCGGGTGACATCCGCTGGCCTCTACCTCCTCTACGGCCAGCTGGGTGTCACCTGCACGGCGGCCACCTGTCCCCAAGGCGCTGTCACCCTGCGGCTGCGCCGCGCCGCGTCCCCGAGGCCGCTGCTGGCCGTGCCACTGTCCCTGCCCGCTGCCACCGGCGGCCACCAGCAGCGCTCGGCGCTGGCCCAGGCCGTGGCACAGCTGTGGCCTGGGGACACGCTGAGCCTCCAGCTGGTTGGGGACACGGCTGGGGACACGGCTGGGGACACGGGCGGGTGGCAGCTGGAGCAGGAGGAGCGCGAGGGAAACTTCGTGGGGCTGCTGCGGATCGCGGTGGCGTGACCGGTGGTGGCACCGGGTGGTGGCACCGGGTGGTGGCACCGGGGTGAGGAGGGGCTGGCCGGCCTGGTCACCTGCCGGGGTGGGGCTTGGGGACATCAGGGTGTCCCGAGTGTGGAGGTTTGGGGACGTTGTCGAGGGACATCGGTGACGTCCAGACCTGGAGGTTTGAGGAGAAGGGACACCGGTGACCTCCAAACCCAGAGATTTGGGGACAAGGGACATCGGTGACCTCCAAACCCGAAGGTTTGGGGACAAGGGACATCGGTGACGTCCGTGGTTGGAGATCTGGGGACAAGACCACAACACCCAGAGATCTGGGGACAAGGGACATCGGTGACATCCAAACCCAGAGATCTGGGGACAAGGGACATCAGTGACATCCGTGGTTGGAGATCTGGGGACGAGGGACATTGGTGACCTCCAAACCCAGAGATTTGGGGACGTCAAGTGACATCGGTGACCTCCACACCCAGAGTTTTGGGGACAAGGGACATTGGTGACCTCCAAACCCAGAGATTTGGGGACAAGACCCCCATGCTCAGAGATTTGGGGACATCAGGGGACATTGGTGACATCCAAGGCTGGAGATTTGATTGACAAGAGCGCTGTGTCCAGAGATTTGGGGACATCAAGTGACATTGGTGACCTCCACACCCAGAGATTTGGGGACAAGGGACATCGGTGACATCCAAGGCTGGAGATTTCAGTGACAAGAGCCCTGTGTCCAGAGGTTTGGGGACATCAAGGGACATCGGTGACGTTCATGGCCGAAGATGTGGGTGACAAAACCTCGTCCCCAAAGATTGAGGACATCAGGTGACATCGGTGACCTCCACACCTGGAGATCTGGGGACGTCAAATGACATCACTGACCCCCCCCAATTTGGTGCTTGGGGACATTTGGGGACCTCGTGGACCCAGTGCTGGACACTTGGGGACACTTGGGGACATTCGGGGACCCAGTGCTGGACACTTGGGGACATTTGGGGACATGGTGCTGGACACTTGGGACCTCCTTGGGGACATTGGGGACACTTTGGGGGGAGGGTCCCTGCTGTCTTTAATTAATTGTTGTCCTTAATTAATTATTTATTCATTGTTGTCCTTATTTATTTATTAATTAATTAATAAATTTATTTATGTGTTCTTTTTACGAACCGGATTGTCCCCAAAAAATGGGGGTGACAACCCTGGGGTGGCACCGAGGGGACCTCGGGGGGTCCCCACCTGCAAATCCCCCCCAAATTTAACCCCATCACCCCCAAATTTGCCCCAGAAACTCCAAAATTTGCGAAAATCCCCCAAAATTTGAACCCCAAAATCCCAAAATTTTCCCCAGAACCCCACAAAATTTGCCCCAGGAAATCCAAATTTGCTGAAAATCCCCCAAAATTTGAACCCCAAAATCCCAAAATTTTCCCCAGAACCCCACAAAATTTGCCCCAGGAAATCCAAATTTGCTGAAAATCCCCCAAAATTTGAACCCCAAAATCCCAAAATTTTCCCCAGAACCCCACAAAATTTGCCCCAGGAAATCCAAATTTGCTGAAAATCCCCCAAAATTTGTCCTGGAGTTCCCCAAATTTACCCCAGAACCCCCCAAAGTTTGCCTGTGAGCCCCAGAATTTGCCCCAGAGACCTCAAAATATGTCCTGGAGTCCCCAAAATTTAACCCCAGAACCCCCTAAATTTGCCCCAGAAACCCCCAAATTCGCCCCAGAGGCCCCAAATTTTCCCCAGAACCCCCAAATTTAACCCCATCACCACCAGATTTGCCCCAGAAACCCCAAAATTTGCCCCAGAGACCTCAAAATATGTCCTGGAGTCCCCAAAATTTAACCCCAGAACCCCCTAAATTTGCCCCAGAACCCCCAAATTTAACCCCATCACCACCAGATTTGCCCCAGAAACCCCAAAATTTGCCCCAGATCCCCCCAAAAATTGCCCCGGGTGCAGAGTGTGGGGTGGGAAATGCGGGGTGCAGAGTTTGGGGTGTCCCCATGACCCCTGTGGTGTCCCCATGTCCCCTGTGGTGTCCCCATGTCCCTCATGTCCCTCACCATGTCCCCATGACCCCTGTGATGTCCCCATGTCCTTTATGGTGCCACCATGTCCCTCATGTCCCTTACCACGTCCCCATGTCCCTTATGATATGTCCCTCATGTCCCTCACCATGACCCCTGTGGTGTCCCCATGACCCCTACAGAGTCCCTGTGACCTCTCTGGTGTCCCCATGACCTCTCTGGTGTCCCCATGACCCCTGTGATGTCCCCATGTCCCTTATGGTGCCACCATGTCCCTCATGTCCCTTACCACGTCCCCATGTCCCTTATGATGTCCCCTTGTCCCCTCTGATGTCCCCATGCCCCCTGTGACATCCCCAAGTCCCCTCTGGTGTCCCCATGTCCCCTGTGGTGTCCTCATCACCTCCGTGGTGTCCCCACAACCCCTGTGGTGTCCCCACGTCCCTTCTGGTGTCCCCACGTCCCCTGTGTGTCCTCATATCCCTTATGGTGTCCCCATGTCCCTTATCATGTCCCCAATGTCCCTTGTGATCTCCCCATGTCCCTTATGGTGTCCCTCATGTCCTTTATGGTGCCACCATGTCCCTCATGTCCCTCACCACGTCCCCATGTCCCTTATGGTGTCCCCATGTCCCTTATGGAGTCCCCATGTCCCCTGCGGTGTCCCCCTGCCCCTCATGGTGTCCTCATGCCCCCTATGATGTCGCCATGTCTCTTATGGTGTCCCCATGTCCCTCATGTCCCTCACCACGTCCCCATGTCCCTTATGGTGTCCCCATTACCCCTCTCGTGTCCCCACGCCGCTTCTCATGTCCCCATGTCCCCTTGGTGGTCCCCACACCCCCCCACATACCCCCTGTGACATCCCCATGTCCCCTGTGACGTCCCCATGTCCCCTGGGTGTCCCCATGTCCCCTGTGATGTCCCCATGTCCCTTATGGTGTCCCCATTACCCCTCTCGTGTCCCCACGCCGCTTCTCATGTCCCCATGTCCCCTTGGTGGTCCCCACACCCCCCCACATACCCCCTGTGACATCCCCATGTCCCCTGTGACGTCCCCATGTCCCCTGGGTGTCCCCATGTCCCCTGTGATGTCCCCATGTCCCCTTGGTGTCCCCATGTCCCCTGTGACATCCCCATGTCCCCTGTGACGTCCCCATGTCCCCTTGGTGTCCCCATGTCCCCTGTGACATCCCCATGTCCCCTGTGATGTCCCCATGTCCCTTATGGTGTCCCCATGTTCTCTATGATGTCCCCATGTCCCTTATGATGTCCCCATGTCCCCTTGGTGTCCCCACTCCCCCCCACATGTCCCCTCTGGTGTCCCCATGTCCCTTATGGTGTCCCCATTTCTCTTATGGTGTCCCTGTGACCCCTGATGTCCCCATGTCCCCTTTGATGTCCCCATGTCCTTTATGGTGTCCCTATGTCCCTTCTGATGTCCCCATGACCCTTCTTGTGTCCCCATGTCCCCCTTATGATGTCCCCATGACCTCTGTGATGTCCCCATGTCCCGTCTGGTGTCCCCATGTCCCCCTGGTGTTCCCATGTCCCTTATGGTGTCCCCATGTCCCCTATGACATCCCCACGTCCCCTTGGGGTTCCCATGTCCTGTCTGCTGTCCCCATGTCCCTTATGGTGTCCCCATGACCCCTGTGATGTCCCCATGTCCCCTTGGTGTCCCGATGTCCCCTGTGGTGTCCCCACATCCCCTTGGTGTCCCCACTCCCCCCATGTCCCCCTCCAAGGACACCCCAAGCCGAGTGCTCAGAAATGACTTTTTTAACCAAAAAAAAACCCAAACAAAAAAGGCGGGGAGGGGACGAAAAGCGCCCGGAGAAGAGCGGTGACACCCAGGGCAGGGTGCCACCCCAGGGTGGGGACACTTGGGGACTCAGCTGGGACAGCCGAAGAGCGTCATGGACTCGGAGAACTCGACGAAGTCCTGGCAGCGCTGCTGCAGCGCCGCGTCCTGGCACGCGGCCTCCGAGGGCCACCCCTCCAGCCACGTGTCCTTCCCGATCAGGTACGAGAAGCTGGGGACACAGGGGACAGCCATGGGGACACGGGGACAGATGGCAGGACATGGGGACAGATGGCAGGACATGGGGACACAGGGACAATGGGGATAATGGGGATAATGGGGACATGGGGACAATGGGGGCAGTGGGGATATAGGGGACAATGGGGACAGTGGGGACATCAGGAATTTAGGGGACAATGGAGACAATGGGGATAGAGGGGACAATGAGACAATGGGGACATGGGACAGTGGGGATAATGGGGATATTGGGGATAATGGGGACATTGGGAATTTAGGGGACAACGGGGACAATGGGGACAATGGGGACAATGGGGACAATGGGGACAATGGGGACAATGGGGACAATGGGGACAATGGGGACAATGGGGACAATGGGGACAATGGGGACAATGGGGACAATGGGGACAATGGGGACAATGGGGACAATGGGGACAATGGGGATAATGGGGACATGGGGACAGATGGCAGGACGGGGGGACACGGGGACAATGGGGACAGTGGGGAAAATGGGGACAGTGGGGACAATGGGGACAATGGGGATAATGGGGACATGGGGACATGGGGACATGGGGACAGTGGGGACAGAGGGACATGGGGACAATAGGGGCAATGGGGACACAGGGGACAATGGGGACAAAGGGACAGCCATTGGGACAGCCGTAGGGATAATGGGGCAATAGGGACAATGGGGACAATGGGGACAGTGGGGACAAAAGGGATAGAGGGGACAATGGGGACAATGGGGACAGTGGGGACAATGGGGATATAGGGGACAGTGGGGACAATGGGGGTACAGGGGCAGTGGGGACACAGGGGACAGTGGGGACAATGGGGACAATGGAGATAGAGGGGACAATCGGGACAATGGGGACAATGGGAATTTAGGGGACAATGGGGACAACGGGGACAATGGGGACAGTGGGACAGTGGGACAATGGGGCAATGGGGTTATGGAGGACAGGGGACACAGGGGACAGTGGGGACAATGGGGATATGGAGGACAGGGGACACAGGGGACAGTGGGGACAATGAGGACAATGGGGATAGAGGGGACAGTGGGACAGTGGGGACAATGGGGACAATGGGGACTTCAGGAATTTAGGGGACAACGGGTACAATGGGGACAGTGGGACAGTGGGGACAATGGGGGTACAGGGGCAGTGGGGACAAAAGGGATAGAGGGGACAATGGGGACAATGGGGACAGTGGGGACAATGAGGACAATGGGGACAGTGGGGACAATGGGACAATGGGGTTATGGAGGACAGGGGACAGTATGGACAATGGGGATAGAGGGGACAAAGGGACAATGGGGACAATGGAGACAATGGGGCAATGAGGACACGGGACAGTGGGGACGGTGGAGGTATGGACAATGGGGATAGAGGGGACAAAGGGACAATGGGGACAATGGAGACAAGGGGGCAATGAGGACACGGGACAGTGGGGACGGTGGAGGTACGGGGACAAGGGGGACAACGGGGACATGTCCCTACTGTCTGCCGGTGACCCAGAGGTCGCTGGCCTGTCCCCAGACCAGGTAGTCCTGTCCCCTGCGCAGCTGCAGCGCGTCCCGGCACTGCTGGTGGCTCACGAAGGTCCTGTTGCTGCCCGCCGGGTCCTCGTCCGTGCCTGCTCGGCGTGGCACCGTGTCACCATGGCAACGTGTCACCATGGTGATGGATTACCGTGGTGACATGTCACCATGGCAACGTGTCACCATGGCAACGGGTCACCATGACACCATGACACCAAGTCACCATGGCGACGGGTCACCGTGTCACCATGGCAACGTGTCACCATGGTGATGGGTCACCATGGTGATGGGTCACCATGGCAACGTGTCACCATGGCGACAGGTCACCATGGAGACGGGTCACCGTGGCACCATGGCTCCATGGCGCTGTGTCACCATGGCACCATGTCACCATGGCAACGGGTCACCGTGGCAATGTCTCACCATGGCTCCATGGCAACGTGTCACCACATCACCCTGTCACCATGGCACTATGGCACCGTGTCACCATGGCACCAGGTGACCGTGGCACTGTGTCACCATGTCACCGTGTCACCGTGTCACCTCCACCCCCCAAACACGGCAGCCGTGGTGACACCACCCCACAACCTGTCACCATGTCACCATGGCACCACGTCACCTTGTCACCATGGCACCATGTCACTGTATCACCCTGTCACCACGTCACCTTGTCACCATGTCACCATGGCACTATGGCACAGTGTCACCATGGCACCATGGCACTGTATCACCCTGTCGCCATGTCACTGTGTCACCATGGCGCTGTGGCACTGTGTCGCCATGGCACTGTCACCATGGCACCACGTCACCTTGTCACCACGGCGCTATGGCACAGTGTCACCATGGTGCCATGGCACTGTGCCACCATGTCACCGTGTCACCGTGTCACCTCCACCCCCCAAACACGGCAGCCGTGGTGACACCACCCCCCTGTGGTGGCACTGGGTGCCTCCAGCTTTGCCAGCAGGCTTGGTGTCCCCAACGCACCACGGTGACACCGACCCCACATGGGTGACACCGACCCCAGCTGGGTGACACCAGCCCCGGTTGGGTGACACTGACCCCATCTTGGTGACACCAGCCCCAATTGGGTGACACCGACCCCACCTGGGTGACACGTCCCCAATGTCCCCAACACCAACGCCACCCAGGTGACATCACCCCACCTGGCTGTCCCCAACCAGCCCACTTGAGTGTCCCCATCTGCAGGTGACCCCCACCACGTCCCCCCTGAGGTGGCCTTGTCCCCCCCGAGGTGACCTTGTCCCCCTGAGGTGACCTTTTCACCCCAGGGTGTCCTTGTCCTGCCCATGGTGGCCTTGTCCCCCCTGTGGTGGCCTTGTCCCCCCTGAGGTGGCCTTGTCCCCTGTCCCCCCCGTGATGGCCTTGTCCCCCCCGTGGTGGCCTTGTCCCCCCCCAAGGTGACCTTGTCCCCCCTGAGGTGGCCTTGTCCCCCCGAGGTGACCTTTTCACCCCAGGGTGTCCTTGTCCTGCCCATGGTGGCCTTGTCCCCCCCATGGTGACCTTGTCCCCCCGAGGTGGCCCTGTCCCCCCGAGGTGGCCTTGTCCCCCCCGAGGTGGCCTTGTCCCCCCCGAGGTGGCCCTGTCCCCTCCCCGAGGTGGCCGTACCCATCTTGATGACCGTCAGCACCTCCATGATGTAGTTGTCGTGGGACGGCGTGTCCTCGCGGGCCACCACCCTCACCTTGTACACTGCCGGGGACACGGGGACAGCGCTGTCACCCCCGCCCGCGTGGCACTGCCGCGTCCCTGTCCCCACCGTGTCCCCAATGTCCCTAACGCCCCCGGCCATGACTTGATGTCCCCGATGTCCCTGACATCCCCGATGTCCCCGAAGTCCCCATTGTCCCCCAACATCCCCAGTGTCCTCAATGCCCCTGATGTCACCATTGTCCCCAAAGTCCCCAATGTCCCCAGTCCTCTCAATGTCCCCACTGCCCCCATTGCCCCCATTGTCCCCATTGTCCCCAATGTCCCTGATGTCCCCAATGTCCCCAATGTCCTCAATGTCTCCAGTCCTCCCAATGTCCCCATGTCCCCAACGTCCCTGATATCCCTGATGTCCCCAGTGTCCCCAATGTCCCCAATGTCCCCAATGTCCCCCTGTCCCCCATTGTCCCCAATGTCCCTATTGTCCCCGGTGTCCCCACTGTCCCCAATGTCCCCCCTGTCCCCCATTGTCCCCATCTCCCCCATTGTCCCCATTGTTCCCAATGTCCCCAATGCCCCCAATGTCCCCAGTGTCCCCATTGTCCCCAATGTCCCCATTGTCCCCAGTGTCCCCCAATATCCCCAATGTCCCCAATGTCCCCCTGTCCCCCATTGTCCCCAATGTCCCTATTGTCCCCGGTGTCCCCACTGTCCCCAATGTCCCCCCTGTCCCCCATTGTCCCCATCTCCCCCAATGTCCCCATTGTTCCCGATGTCCCCAATGCCCTCAATGTCCCCAATATCCTCATTGTTCCCATTGTCCCCAATGTCCCCATTGTCCCCAGTGTCCCCCAATATCCCCAATGTCCCCAATGTCCCCATGTCCCCCATCTCCCCCAATGTCCTCAGTGTCCCCAATGTCCCCAATGTCCCCAGTGTCCCCAGTGTCCCCAATGTCCCCAGTGTCCCCAATGTCCCCAATGCCCCCAATGTCCCCGGTGTCCCTGGTGTCCCCAGTGTCCCCAGTGTCCCCATTGTCCCCGGTGTCCCCATGGCTGTCCCCGTGTCCCACCGTAGTCCACCCCGGGCTCGCAGGCGCGCTCCATGCGTTGGTTGACGGTGATGGCCACGGGCTCCTCCTGGCGCTTGAAGCAGCTCTCTGTGGGGACATCGAGGGGACATCACGGGGACATCATGGGGACATCGTGGGGACATTGCGGGGACATCACAGGGACACGGCCACGACAAGGTGAACTGTGGCAGGGACGTGTCCCCATCACAGTCATGGCATGTGACATCTCATCAATGACGTGTCCCCACCAGGCTCATGACGTGTCCCACCACGGCAGGGACACGTCCCCATCATGGTGACATGTGACATCTCATCAATGACGTGTCCCCACCAGGCTCATGGCATGTCCCACCACAGCAGGGACACGTCCCCATCACAGTCATGGCATGTGACATCTCATCAGTGACATGTCCCCACCAGGGCCATGACGTGTCCTACCATGACCATGACGTGTCCCACCATGGCCAGGACACGTCCCCACTATGGTGGCATGTGACATTTCATCATTGATGTGTCCCACCATGACCATGACATGCTCCCACCATGACTGTGACTTGTCCCCACCATGGCCATGACGTGTCCCCGCCATGACCAGGATGTGTCCCCATCATAGTGACACATGACGTTTCATCATTGATGTGTCCCACCATGGCCAGGACATGTCCCATCATGGCCATGAAGTGTCCCATCACATCAATGTCCCCATCATGACCGTGACATGTCCCCATCATGGTGGCATGTGACATCTCATCATTAACGTGTCCCACCATGACCATGACATGTCTCCATCACATCAATGTGTCCCACCATGACTATGACATGTCCCCATCATGATGACACATGACATTTCATCATTGATGTGTCCCACCATGGCTGTGACATGTCCCCATCATGGTGGCATGTGACATCTCATCATTAACGTGTCCCACCATGACCGTGACACGTCCCACCATGACCATGACATGTCCCACCATGACCATGAGGTGTCCCCACCATGGTGGCAATTGACATCTCATCATTGACGTGTCCCACCCTGCCAGGGCAGCCTGCCCATTCCCGTGTCCCATGTCCCGTGTCACGTGTCCCGTGTGCTGTGTCCCGTGTCCCCGTGTCACCTTCGGCGCAGCGACACACGTCCCCCTGGCAGATCTTGTTCAGCTTCCCGCCCTCCTTGTCCGGGTGGTAGAACCGCGTGCAGCGATCGTCTGCGGGACACGGGGACATGGGGACATCAGGGGATGGCAGGGGACAGCGGGGCACAAAGGGGGACATCAGGGGACACAGGGACAACGGGGGACATCAGGGGACAGAGAGGGATATGGGGACAGCAGGGGACAGCAGGGGACATGGGGACAGCAGGGGACAGCGGGGACAGCAGAGACAGCAGGGACAGCACCGGACACAGGGGACATCAGGGGACAGTGAGGGACACGGGGACATCAGGGGACAGCGAGGGATATGGGGACAGCAGGGACATCAGGGGACAGCGAGGGACAAAGGGGGACATGGGGACATCAGGGCACAGTGAGGGATATGGGGACAGTGGGGGACATCAGGGGACATCAGGGGACACGGGGACAACGGGGGACATCAGGGGACAGCGAGGGATATGGGGACAGCAGGGACATCAGGGGACAGCAGGGGACATGGGGACAGCAGGGGACACCAGGGGATATGGGGACATCAGGGGACATCAGGGGACATCAGGGGACACCAGGGGATGTGAGGGATATGGGGACAGTGGGGGACATCAGGGGACATCAGGGGACACGGGGACAGTGGGGGACACGGGGGACATCAGGGGACACAGGGACAGCAGGGGACAGCAGGGGACAGCGGGGGACATCAGGGGACAGTGGGGGACAGCAGGGGACAGCGGGGGACAACGGGGGACAGCAGGGGACAGCGGGGGACAGCAGGGGACAGTGGGGGACACCAGGGGACACCAGGGGATGTGGGGACATCAGGGGACATCACCCAGGGGGCATGGAGACATGGGGACACTGGGGACATCAGCCAGGGGGACACAGGTGACAGAGGTCATAGAGGTGACCTGGGTGACCCAAGTGGCACTAGGGACGGGGACAGGGACAGGGACAGGGACAGGGACAGGGACAGGGACAGGGGACAGGGAGAGGGAAGGGACAGGGACGGGGATAGGGATGGGAACAACAACAGGGACAGGGACAGGGGCAGAGGGGACAGGGAGGGGACAGAGGGGACAAAGGGGATGGGGACAGGGACAGGGACAGGGACAGGGGACAGGGAGGGGACAGTGCCACACCGATCCTGTAGTAGCTGTAGACGCTGACGGCCGCGGGCTGGATCAGCCCCACCTGGAACCTCTGGTGGGCCTTGAAGGCGAAACACTCCTGGGCCTTGTGGGACACCTGGGGACAGCACGGGGACAGGGACAGGGACAGGGATGGGGACAGGGACAGGGACAGGGATGGGGACAGGGACAGGGACAGGGATGGGGACAGGGACAGGGACAGGGATGGGGACAGGGACAGGGACAGGGATGGGGACAGGGACAGGGACGGGGACAGGGGACAGGGATGGGGGACACGGGGGTGGCACTCAGGCTGCGAGCCACCTCCCCAACACACCCGGTCCTGTCCCCAGCCATGTCCCCGTGCTGTCCCCACCCGTCCCTGTCCTTGTCACCACCTTGAGACCGTTGCTGTCACCACCCCTGTCCCCAGATGTGTCCTTGTCACAGCCTTGTCCCCCTCCTGTCCCTGCCCATGTTGCCAACTCCATCCTGATGCCTGTCCCTGTCCTGTCCCTGTCCCCATCCCTGTCCCCCCACCTTGTCACTGTCCCTGTCCCCATCCCTGTCCTGTCCCTGTCCCCATCCCTGTCCCCCCACCTTGTCCCCAACTCCATCCTGATGCCTGTCCCTCTCCTGTCCCTGTCCCCATCCCTGTCCCCCCACCTTGTCATTGTCCCTGTCCCCATCCCTGTCCTGTCCCTGTCCCATCCTGTCCCTGTCCCTGTCCCTGTCCCTGTCCCTGTCCCTGTCCCTGTCCCATCATGTCCCCACCCTGTCCCCATCCTGTCCTGTCCATGTCCCATCTTGTCATTGTCCCATCTTGTCCCTGTCACCATCCCAGTCCTGTCCCCACCCCCGTGTCCCCAGTGTCCCCAGTGTCCCCACCTTGTCCAGGTAAATGACGACGTTGCTGCGCTCTTTGTCCTGGTCCAGCTCGAACTTGGAGATGTACCGGTCCACGCCCTCGGACAGCTGGGGACAGTGGGGACAGCGTGACACCGGGGACAAGGGGGACAGCGGGGACAGAGTGACACAGGGCATGGGGACAGCAGGGACAGTGTGACACCAGACACGGGGACAGCGGGGACAGAGTGACACAGGGGACAGTGTGACACCAGACACGGGGACAGCGTGACACCGGGGACAGTGTGACACCGGGGACAGTGTGACACCGGACACAGGGACAGTGTGACACTGGGGACAGCGTGACACCAGGCACGGGGACAGCGGGGACAATGTGACACTGGGGACAGTGTGACACCGGGCACGGGGACAGCGTGACATCAGGGATAGCAGGGACAGCGTGACACTGGGGACAGTGTGACACCGGGGACAGGGACAGCGGGGACAGCGGGGACAGAGGGGACAGAGTGACACCGGGGACAGTGTGACACTGGGGACAGCGTGACACCGGGCACGGGGACAGCGGGGACAGTGTGACACTGGGCACAGGGACAGCGGTGACACAGGGAATGTGGGACATCAGGGACATTGTGACACTGGGACACGTGGGGACATTCAGGGACATGGAATGGCATCAGGACATGGGGACACGCCGGGACACGGTGACACCGGGACCATGGGGACACATGGGGACAACAAGGACGCATGTGTGGCAATGAGGGGATATGGTGGCACACAATGGCACAAAGACACGGCGTCCCCTGTCTTTGTCCCCATGTCCCCCCCTCAGTGTCCCCAAGTCCTCCCGGTGTCCCTGTGTCCCCCCATGTCCCCCGTGTCCCTCAGTGTCCCCGGTGTCCCCGTGTGTCCCCGTGTCCCCACACTGACCCTCCTCAGGTCCTGCACGTCTGGCGAGAAGCCCGTGAGCATGGTGACATCCAGGATGGACATGGTGGCATCCACGGTGTCCAGGTGCCTGTGGGGACACAGCTGAGGCCACCCCCGCCTGTCCCCAACCCCCGCAGCGTCCCCAGCGTCCCCGATGTCACCATCCCCACGGGACAAGGTGAGTGCTTTTTGTCCCCAGTGTCACCGTCCTTGTCCCTGATGTCCCCAATGTCCCCAATGTCCCCATTTTCCTCCTTGTCCCCAATGTCCCTTCCTCCCCTTCCCCTCCCTGTCCTCAATGTCCCCAGTGTCCCCAATGTCCCCACTGTCCCCAGTGTCCCCATCCTCTCCCTGATGTCCCTGTCCCCAACAGCCCCTCCCTGTCCCTGCTGTCCCCGCTGTCCCCAATGTCCCTGCTGTTCCCAGTGTCCCCAGCGTCCCCAATGTTCCCAGTGTCCCCACTGTCCCCATCCTCTCCCCGATGCTCCTGTCCCCAATGTCCCTCGTGTCCCTGTCCCTGTTGTCCCCAATGTCCCCACTGTCCCATGTCCCCAATGTCCCCACTGTCCCAAATGTCCCCTGATCCTTTCCCTGATGTCCCTGTCCCCAACAGCCCCTCCCTGTCCCTGCTGTCCCCAGTGTCCCCAGTGTCCCCAATGTCCCCACCGTCCTCACTGTCCCCACTGTCCTCAGTGTCCCCGCTGTCCCCCCTGTCCCCAACATCCCCAATGTCCCCAGTGTCCCCAATGTCCCCACCGTCCTCACTGTCCCCACTGTCCTCAGTGTCCCCGCTGTCCCCCCTGTCCCCAACATCCCCAATGTCCCCAGTGTCCCCAATGTCCCCAATGTCCCCAGTGTCCCCAATGTCCCCAATGTCCCCACTGTCCCAAATGTCCCCTGATCCTTTCCCTGATGTCCCTGTCCCCAACAGCCCCTCCATGTCCCTGCTGTCCCCAATGTCCCCACTGTCCTCAGTGTCCCCGCTGTCCCCACTGTCCCCAATGTCCCCATTGTCCCCAATGTCCCCATTGTCCCCAATGTCCCAAACGTCCCCAGTGTCCCCAGTGTCCCCAGTGTCCCCAATGCCCCCAATGTCCCCAATGTCCCCAACGTCCCCAATGTCCCCAACATCCCCAATGTCCCCAATGTCCCCACTGTCCCCAATGTCCCCAATGTCCCCACTGTCCCCAATGCCCCCAATGTCCCCACTGTCCCCAGTGTCCCCAGTGTCCCCACCTGGTGCAGATGGTGCCAACGCCCCCAATGTCCCCACTGTCCCCAGTGTCCCCAGTGTCCCCACCTGGTGCAGATGGTGATCTTCACAGACCTGATGACATCCTCCTCCTCCTTGCCTGGTGGGGACAACGAGGTGACATCGAAGGTGACACAAGGCACACACGGGGAGTGGCTGGCGGTGGCACAGCGGGGACAGGGAGGGGACAGTTGGGGACCCACCCGTGTTGACCTCCTCTACGCCCACGCTCAGGTCGAAGCTGTCACACTTGTCGTCCTTCTCGGGGACCTTGGCGTGGTACACGGTCACCACTGTCATTGTCCCCTTGCCCACGCCCTCGGCCTTGACCGTGAAGTCCTCGTTCAGCTTGGTCTGAGGGGACAGGGACATTGCGAGGGGACAGGGGACACTGGGGGGGGACAGGGACACTGGGAGGGGACAGGGGACACTGGGGGGGGACAGGGACACTGTGAGGGGACAGGGACATTGGGAAGGGACATTGCGGGGGGCAGGGGGACACTGGGGGGCAGGGACATTGCGAGGGGACAGGGACATTGCGAGGGGACAGGGACATTGGGAGGGGACAGGGACATTGCAAGGGGACAGGGGCATTTGGAGGGGACAGGGGACATTGGGAAGGGACAGGGGACACTGGGAGGGCACAGGTGATAGGGGACATTGCAAGGGGACAGGGGACATTGGAGGGGACAGGGGACATTGGGAAGGGACAGGTGACATTGGGAGGAGACATGGTGATGGGACGGGATTATCCAACAAGGAGACCCAGAGGTGACAGTGCCAGGTGACAATGCCAGGTCACAGGGACAGGGAAAGGGACAAGGTGACAGGTGCCGGGGTGATAAGGTGACAGGTGACAAGGTGACAAAGTCAGTCTGGGACATCCCAAGCCTTGAGAGGACACAGAGGGGACAGGACATGGAGGGGACACTGATGGCCATGGTGGTGGGACGGGATTATCCAACGAGGAGACCCAGAGGTGACAGTGCCAGGTGACACTGCCAGGTGAGAGGTGACAATGCCAGGTGCCGGGGACAGGGACAGGTACCTCGGTGGAGCGCGCCACCAGCGCGTTGCTGTTCTCGATGCGGTACTTGATGGGGCTGGCGCGGCGCGGCAGCAGCACCGACACGTCCAGCTCCAGCTGCTGCTGGGACTCCGTGGCCACCTGGTACTGGGCCAGCGCTTGGAACACCATGATGGTGGCCTGAGGGGACATCGGGGTCACCAGGGCTTGGGGACATTGGTGGAGAGCCCACAAGGACTCCTGGGTGGGTGTGGTGGCCTGAGGGGACATCGGGGTCACCAAGGCTTGGGGACAGCAGCTCTGTGTTTCCACCCGGTGCTGGGCCAGCGCTTGGAACACCATGATGGTGGCCTGATGGTCACCAGTGTCACCAGGGCTTGGGGACAGCAGCTCTGTGTCCACCTGGTGCTGGGCCAGCGCTTGGAACATGAGGATGGTGGCCTGAGGGGACACTGGGGTCACCAGGGCTTGGGGACACCAGCTGGAGAGCCCACAAGGGCTCATGGGTGGTTATGGTGGCCTGACGGTCACCAGGGTCACCAGGGCTTGGGGACAGCAGCTCTGTGTCCACCCGGTGCTGGGCCAGCACTTGGAACACCAGGATGGTGGCCTGAGGGGCCATCGGGGTCACCAGGGCTTGGGGACAGCAGCTCTGTGTCCACCTGGTGCTGGGCCAGCGCTTGGAACATGAGGATGGTGGCCTGAGGGGCCATCGGGGTCACCAGGGCTTGGGGACAGCAGCTCTGTGTCCACCTGGTGCTGGGCCAGCGCTTGGAACATGAGGATGGTGGCCTGAGGGGCCATCGGGGTCACCAGGGCTTGGGGACAGCAGCTCTGTGTCCACCTGGTGCTGGGCCAGCGCTTGGAACATGAGGATGGTGGCCTGAGGGGCCATCGGGGTCACCAGGGCTTGGGGACAGCAGCTCTGTGTCCACCTGGTGCTGGGCCAGCGCTTGGAACATGAGGATGGTGGCCTGAGGGGCCATCGGGGTCACCAGGGCTTGGGGACAGCAGCTCTGTGTCCACCTGGTGCTGGGCCAGCGCTTGGAACACTATGATGGTGGCCTGATGGTCACCAGTGTCACCATGGCTTGGGGACAGCAGCTGTGTGTCCACCCGGTGCTGGGCCAGCGCTTGGAACATGAGGATGGTGGCCTGAGGGGACATCGGGGTCACCAGGGCTTGGGGACACTGGTGGAGAACCCACAAGGTCTCCTGGGCAGCCTGAGGGGACACTGGGGTCACCAGGGCTTGGGGACACTGCTGGAGAACCCACAAGGACTCCTGGGTGGCCTGAGGGGACACTGGGGTCACCAGGGCTTGGGGACACTGGTGGAGAGCCCCCAAGGACTCCTGGATGGCCTGAGGGGTCACTGGTGTCACCAGGTCTTGGGGACATCAGCTGGAGCAGCCCCACAGTGGTGTCATCATTGCTTGGGGACACTGATGGAGAACCCACAAGGACTCCTGGGTGGCCTGAGGGGTCACTGGTGTCACCAGGTCTTGGGGACATCAGCTGGAGCAGCCCCAAAGTCCTCTGAGTGACCTTTGTCTCCTGTGCCACCAAAGATGTCCCCAAAAAGACAACGCCCATTCTGTCACCCCCAGCGCCACCAGGTGTCCCTGAGATGTCCCCGCGGGTGGCCGGGGTGTCCCGTGTCCCACCTGGGTGGAGCCGTAGCCCCCTCCGTAGTAGTTCTGCTGGGCGAGCCACCGGACCACCGGCCCGGCCAGCTCGGACTTCTTCATCTGCACCAGGGCCAGCAGCGCGTAGGACGTGCCCTCGATGTTGTAGGTGCGGGCGTTGCGCTCCTCCCAGCTGGCCCCACCTGTGGGGACATCGGGGACACCTTCAGCCGCCAGGGCCACCCACGGCCACCTCAGCCCGGCCCCAAATTACAGCCGCGGGTGAGGCGTTACCTCAGGAGGATCCAAAACCACTTCTGGAGAACCTCAGGAGGACCCAAAACCACCTCCCCTCACCTCAGTTTCAACCTTCTCAACTCCAAGGTGAGGTGTCATCTTTGAGAACTTCAGGAGGACCAAAAACCACCTCCCCTCACCCCAGTTTCAACCTTATCAACCCCAAGGTGAGGTGTCATCTTTGAGAACTTCAGGAGGACCCAAAACCACCTTCCCTCACCCCAAATTCCAACCCTGGGTGAGGATTCAGTTCTGGAGAACCTCAGGAGGACCCAAAATCACCTGTCCTCACCCCAGTTTCAACCTTCTCAACCCCAAGGTGAGGTGTCATCTTTGAGAACTTCAGGAGGACCCAAAACCACCTTCCCTCACCCCAAATTCCAACCCTGGGTGAGGATTCAGTTCTGGAGAACCTCAGGAGGACCCAAAATCGGCTTTGGAGAAAACCACCCCTGACCCCAATTTCAACCCTTTCCACACCAAGGGGAGATGGAGAACCTCATGAAGACCCAAAACCACCTCCTTTCACCCCAACTTTGACTCCTGTTGAGGTGTTACCTTTGGAGAACCTCATGAAGACCCAAACTCATCTCCTTTCACCCCAATTTTGACCTCTCTTGAGGCTCCACTTTTGGAGAACCTCATGAGGACCCAAACCTGCCTCCTTTCACCCCAGTTTTGACCTCTCTTGAGGCTCCACCTTTGGAGAATCTCATAAAGACCCAAACCCACCTTTTTTCACCCCAACTGTGATCCCTCTTGAGATGCCACTTTTGGAGAACCTCATGAAGACCCAAACCCACCATTTTTCACCCCAGTTTTGACCCCTGTTGAGACATCACCTTTGGAGAACTTAATGAAGACCCAAACCCACCTTTTTTCACCCCAACTGTGATCCCTCTTGAGATGCCACTTTTGGAGAACCTCATGAAGACCCAAACCCACCTCCTTTCACCCCAATTTTGACCCCTGTCGAGATGTTACCTTTGGAGAACCTCATGAGGATCCTCTCAGTCTTGAGCTTCCCGGCCAGGGCCAGCGCGTAGGACGCCAGGGCCACCGTGTAGGGCCGGGCCAGCTGCTCGTAGCGCCGGGCCAGGAACCCGGCGGCTTTGTTGATGCTCTCGTCCAAGTTCTGGGAACGAAGGATGGAAAATTTGGGATCTCAGGTGGCTTCCATGACGGTCTGTCACCTCGGGAATGTCCCTGTCCCCGCGTGGGGTCACTCACGTTGACGTGGTCCTTGCAGGTGTCCCGTGCCTCCTCCAGGGCGATGAGGACGAAGGCGGTGAGGGACACCTCGGGCTCGGCGCCTTGGTAGCCTCCCTGCGGGACAAAAAAGAGGGGAAAAAACTTGGGATCGGGGTTTTCCAAGTGCTCGGTGGTCCACCAGGAGCTCATCCAAAGATCTGTCCTTGACAGGTCTGGGGGACACCCAAGGGACACCCAAATTTCACCCAAGGGACACCCAAAGAATATCTGACCTTCATGTGACCTTCAGGTGAGGTACACTCAAGGGACAATCAAGGGGCACCCAAGGAACATCCAAGGGGCAATCAAGGGGCACCCAAACTTCACCCAAGGGACACCCAAAAAACACCCAAGGGACACTCAAATGTCACCCAAGGGACAGCCAAAGAATATGTGACCTTCACCCAACCTTCAGGTGAGGAACACTCAAGCGACAATCAAGGGACAGCCCATGGACACCCAAACGTCACCCAAGGGACATCCAAAGAATATTTGATCCTCACATGGCCTTCATGTGAGGAACACTCAAGGGACACTCAAGGGACACCCAAAGGACGCCCAAATGTCACCCAAAGGACATCCAAAGAACATTTGACCTTCATCTGACCTTCAAATGAGGAACAACCAAGGGACACTAAAGGGACACCCAAGGGACACCCAAGGGACACCAAATGGACACTCAAAGAACACCCAAGGGACACCAAATGGACACCCAATGGACACCCCAACTTTGCCCAAGGGACACCCAAAAACCACTCAAGGGACATCCAAGGAACACCCAATGAATGTTTGATCTTCATCTGACCTTCACCCAAGGAACACCCAAGGAATGCCCAAGGAACGCCCAAGGAACACCTGACCTTCACCCAAGGAACACCCAAAACCCACCCAAAATTCAACCAAGGACCACTCAAAGAATTCCTGAGGTTCGCTTGACCTTCACCCAAGGAACGCCCAAGGAACACCCAAGGATCACCAGACCTTCACCCAAAACCCACACAAAAACTCCCACCCTCCACCCGTGGTCCCCAAGCTTCGGCCAGCAGGCGTGACAGGGTTGAGGTGTCCCCCTACCACCATCTCCTTATGGATGACGGGCGCGTCCTCCTGGAAGACCCCGTCCGGCTTCTGCTTGTTGAGGATGAGCCACTTGAGGGGCCCACAGATCTCGCCGTGCTCGATGTCCGTCAGCTTCCTGGCCATGGCGAACACCTTGACCACGTAGGCGGTCAGCCTGGGGACGGGGACAGCCGAGTGTCACATCCGGCCCTGTCACCTGGGCTGGGTGGTGGTGGTGGCAGCAGGTCCCTCACCAGGTGCTGGAGGGGCGGTTGATGAAGGCGGCGTAGGAGCTGTCGGGCTTGCGGAAGGCCAACTGTTGGGTGTAACCTGCGAGGAGATGGCCATTGGTCAACATGTGGGGTGGCCTGGGTGGGCTTCAGGCCACCAATGGCCTCCAACTGTTGGTCAACATGAAGGGTGGCCAGTGGTGGTCTCAGGCCACCAATGCCCTCCAATTGTTGGTCAACACAAGGGGCGGCCTCAGGCCACCAATGTCCTCCAATTGTTGGCCAACACGAGGAGTGGCCTGGGTGGGCTTCAGGCCACCAATGTCCTCCAACCGTTGGCCAACACAAGGGATGGCCAGTGGTGGCCCCAGGCCACCAACGTCCTCCAACTGTTTGTCAACATGAGGGGTGGCCGGTGGTGGGAATGGCCTCAGGCCGCCAATGTCCTCCAGCCGTTGGCCAACACGAAGAGCACCCACCCAAGCTGAGGAACCCTCAGGCTACCAACCCCCTCTGAAGCCCCTCCCAGTGCAAACCAGTAACTCTGGAAACCCCAAAGTGGCGTCACCCAACCCAGGTCACCTCCGGAGGAGCGACCTTCTGCACCATCTCGGATGATAGGGACCTTTTGTGACCCAAGAGAGGACTCTGAGCGACATTCCCACCATTTTGAGGATGTTCCCACCATTTTCAGGACACTCCCACCACTTTTGAGGATATTCCCAAAATTTTGAGGACGTTCCCACCATTTTGGTGCCATTCCCACCATTTTGAGAACACTCCCACCACTTTTGGGGCCATTCCCACCATTTTGAGGACATTCCCACCATTTTGGTGCCATTCCCACCACTTTTGGTACTGTTCCCACCACTTTTGGGGCCATTCCCACCATTTTGAGAACACTCCCACCACTTTTGGGGCCATTCCCACCATTTTGAGGACATTCCCACCATTTTGGTGCCATTCCCACCATTTTGAGAACACTCCCACCACTTTTGGGGCCGTTCCCACCATTTTGAGAACATTCCCACCACATTTGGTGCCGTTCCCACCATTTTGAGGACATTCCCACCACTTTTGTTGCCATTCCCACAATTTGTGCCCGTTCCCACCACTTTCGGTGCCGTTCCCACCTTTCTTGATCAGCTCGATGGCCCCCGCCCGGCGGTCGATGCCGAAGTTCTCCCACTGCGCGGTGTTGTCCAGGTAGTGGACGGCGATGACCGTGGGCGTCATGGCGATCATGTTCTGCTCCCCACAGCCCGACGGCGTCACGATCAGGTGCTTCAGCTTGGCCCCATCGATGGCCTTCTCCACGATGATGGACACGGGGTTGCCTGGGCCAGGAGAGGACGTGTCACGCTCAGGATGTCCCACCTGTCCCCTCCCTCCAGGTTGTCCCCCGGTGTCCTCTCCTTGGTGCTCACCCTGGATGCTGACTTTGGTCTCCGACTCGGTGTTGGGGACGATGTCCGAGAGGTCCGCGGCCTTCACCCGCTCCTCCTGCACCCCGTCTGTGGGGTGGGGTGGACATGGGTGACCCCGAATGCTCCCCGTGTCTCACCTCCATGAGGTGACCCAGCCCTACCCCACATCAGGGTGTCCCTTGTCCCCCCCGACCACACCAGGATGTCCCTTGTCCCTTGAGATGTCTCGGTTTCATGATGGGATGTCCCTTGTCCTCAAAGTTGTCCCAAAGCTGATCTTGGAGGTGCCTCCTTGATCCCCAAAGATGTCCCAAAGCCACCATGGCTCCTGGTCCCCAAAGATGTCCCAAAGCACTGTGGGAGTTCTCTGGCCGCAGGGGATGTCCCAAAGCCACCGTGGGAGCTCCCTGGTCCCCAGAGATGTCCCAAAGCCACCGTGGGAGCTCTCTGGTCAGCAGAGATGTCCCAAAGCCACCATGAGATATTTCTGGTCTCCAGAGATGTCCTAAATCTGCAGTGGGGCCTCCTTGATCCCCAAAGATGTCCCAAAGCCACCATGGGACCTCCCTGGTCCCCAAAGGTGTCACAAATTGACAATAGGACCTCCCTAGTCCCCAGTGATGTCCCAAACTTTTAGCGGGACCTCCTTGATTCCCAAAGATGTCCCAAAGCCACCATGGGATATTTCTGGTCCCCAAACTACTCCCCAGAGATGTCCCAAAGCCACCTCCCTGGTCCCCAAAGATGTCCCAAAGCACCGTGGAACCTCCCTGGTCCCCAGAGATGTCCCAAATTGACAGTAGGACCTCTCTGGTCCCCAAAGATGTCCCAAAGCCACCGTGGGAGCTCCCTGGTCCCCAGAGGTGTCACTCACTGACTCCCTTGTTCTGCGGGTCCAGCTCGACGATCTTCACCGTCTTCTCCAGCCGCATCCCCTCGGGCTGTCCAGGGCAGAGTCCAGCACTGAAGGTGGGGTTGGGTCTGGGGTCCTCCCCTTCCCAACCCCTCTGCACCACTGGGAGAGGCCTCCCAGTATAAACCAGTACCCCCAGTGACACATGGGGACAGCCCCAGGAGGCCACCCCGGGTCACACAGGTCGCTGAGGTCCTGGAGACCCTGAGGTCACTTCTGTGTCTTGGTCAAATTCATTGTGTGGCCACCATGGTCAGCCTGACCTTGGTGACCCCATCCAGATCATCAATGCAGATATTGATTGAAAATACCAAATCAATAAGGGCATCAAGTTTCATGGTCAGCCTGATCCCTCCTGATAATCATTGAAGATATTGATTGAAAATATCAAATCAATATGGGTATCAGAGCAAGTGGTCAGCCTGATACCATCCAGATCATCAATGAAATATTGATTAAAAATACCAAATCAATAAGGGCATCAAGTCCCATGGTCAGCCTGATCCCTCCTGATAATCAAGGAAGATATTGATTGAAAATATCAAATCAATACTAGTATCAAATCCCGTGATTAGTCTGATCCCATCCAGATCATCAATGAAGATATTGATTAGTAATATCAAATCAATAAGGGCATCAAGTTTCATGGTCAGCCTGATCCCTCCTGATAATCAAGGAAGATATTGATTGAAAATATCAAATCAATATGGGTATCAGAGCAAGTGGTCAGCCTGATACCATCCAGATCATCAATGAAATATTGATTAAAAATACCAAATCAATAAGGGCATCAAGTCCCATGGTCAGCCTGACCTTGCTGATCCCATTGAGATCATCAATGAAGATATTGATCAAAAATATCAAATCAATATGGGTATCAGATCAAGTGGTCAGCCTGATCCCATTGAGATCATCAATGAAGATATTGATTGAAAATATCAAATCAATAAGGGTATCAAATCCTGTGATCAGTCTGATCCCATCCAGATCATCAATGAAGATATTGATCAAAAATATCAAATCAATAAGGGCATCAAGTCCCATGGTCAGCCTGACCTTGGTGATCCCATTGAGATCATCAATGAAGATATTGATCAAAAATATCAAATCAATATGGGTATCAGATCAAGTGGTCAGCCTGATCCCATTGAGATCATCAATGAAGATATTGATCAAAAATATCAAATCAATAAGGGCATCAAGTCCCATGGTCAGCCTGATCCCTCCTGATAATCATTGAAGATATTGATTGAAAATATCAAATCAATAAGGGTATCAAATCCTGTGATCAGTCTGATCCCATCCAGATCATCAATGAAGATATTGATTGAAAATATCAAATCAATAAGGGTATTGAGTCCCATGGTCAGCCTGACCTTGGTGACCCCATTGAGATCATCAATGAAGATATTGATCAAAAATATCAAATCAATAAGGGCACCAAGTCCCATAGTCAGCCTGATCCCACCTGATAATCAGTAAAGATATTGATTGAAAATATCAAATCAATATTAGTATCAAATCCCGTGATTAGTCTGATCCCATCCAGATCATCAATGAAGATATTGATTAGTAATATCAAATCAATAAGGGCATCAAGTTTCATGCTCAGCCTGACCTTGGTGACCCCATTGAGATCATCAATGAAAATATTGATTAAAAATACCAGATCAATAACCGTATCAAACCAACCTGGCCGCACACTGACCCCTTGTGGCCACCACGTGTCACCGGCCATGCCACCACCCACCTCCGCCCTCTGCTGTGGTGGCCCTGGGCCACCCGTGGTGGCCACCCAGCCACCAAAGAACAACGCACGGGTGCCACCACGCTGGGGACATCTCACCAACGGAGGTGCCACCACCGCGGCCACCGGTGGCCACTCACCACAACTCGGAGCTTCTTCTTGACCCCGTCGCCCACGTACTGGTTGCGGACGGCCGCCTTGACCTCGATGTCCAGCAGGCCGAGCTTGAGGGGGACGATGACGAAGGACACGGTGCGCGAGGACTCGGCCTTCATCCTCAGCACCTGCTGGAAGCGCCGCTTGGCCGTGGAGGGGCTGCACAGGTCGGGGTTGTAGACCAGCTCCACGCGCACCTGGACGGTGACAGGGGGGTCACGCCTGAGGTCCGGAGAGAGGGCGACGGCGTCCCCAAAAAACGTCCCCAACTGACCGTGATGTCGTGCAGCCAGTAGTTGTAGAGGATGGCGCGGATCTCCACCTGCTCGTTCCTCACCACCGAGTAGGGCAGGCGGAGGTCGATGAAGAACTCCTTCATCACCGTGATCTCGTAGGGGTCGGCCACGCACAGCCCTGGGGTGGGGGACATGAGGGGGGTTGGGGGACGCCTCGTGCTGCCAAGGAGCCCCGAGGTCTTCAGAGGTCCCTGGAAGTCCAGGGAGTCGTCAAAAGGTTTAGGGGGTCCGTCAAAACCCACAGAATCCTCACAAGGTTTAGGGGATCCATCAAAACTCATGTTCTTCCCAAAGTTTAGGAGATCCATCAAGAACTGCGGGATCTTCTCAAGGTTTAGGGGATCCGTCAAAACCCACAGAATCCTCACAAGGTTTAGGGGATCCATCAAGACCCACAGAGTCTTCCCAAGGTTTAGGAGATACAACAAAACCCATGTTCTTCCCAAAGTTTGGGAGATGTATCCACACCCACAGAGTCCTCACAAGGTTTAGGGGATCCATCAAAACTCATGTTCTTCCCAAGGCTTGGGAGATCCATCAAGACCCACAGAATCCTCACAAGGTTTAGGGGATCCATCAAAACTCATGTTCTTCCCAAGGTTTAGGAGATCTATTAAGACCCACAGAATCTTCACAAGGTTTAGGGGATCCATCAAGACTCACAGAGTCTTCCCAAGGTTTAGGAGATCCATCAAGAACTGTGGGATCCTCTCAAGGTTTAGGGGATCCATCAAAACCCACAGAGTCTTTCCAAGGTTTAGGAGACCCCTTGAATCCCAAAGTTTAGAAGATCCCTCAAGTTCCAGAGAGATCCCTCAAATCCCAAGGATGGCCACCAAGCTTTGGGGCATCTCCCCCTCAGATTCTGGAGATTCCTCAAACCCCAGTAAACCCCTCCGGCCTTAGGAGACCCTTCAGCTCTCAGGGACACCCCACAAGGTTTGAGGATGCTCTGTTGGCCCCAGGAACCCCCTTGTCCTCCATGGCCCCGTACCTTTGGAGGGGGAGAGGCTGACGGCCAGCACCTCCCAGGTGGTGATGGAGTCCTTCAGGTACACGGGCAGCGTCTTGGCCGAGACCCTGGAGAGCACAGGAGTGACCAAGGGGGTCACGGCCCACCCCAGGCCAGGCTCGGGGGGTGTCACCATGGGACTTCTCTGGTCCCCAAAGATGTCCCAAACCCACAGCGGGACTTTCCTGGTCCCCAGAGGTGTCCCAAACCCACAGATGGACTTCCTTTGTCCCCAAAGATGTCCCAGACCCCCCAAGCAGGACCAGGAGCTTGGAGATGACCCCTGAGTGGACCAAGAACTCCTGAGTGGACCAGGAGTTGCGCAGTGACCTTTGTCTGGATTTGGGGTGACCATAACTGATCTCCAGACATGTCCAAGCTGGATGGGGACAGGGTGACCATGCCCAGGCTGGCCCATGGGGTGGGAGGGTGGTGGGACAGGAGGTCCAGGCTCACCCCAGCTCGTTGGGTGGCTCCGTCAGCTGCTCCACCTGCCACAGCCAGCTCTCGGGGAAGAGGCTCCGCGAGACGATGTCCGAGTCCTCCAAGAACGGATCGTCGTCCTCATGGCCTGGGGATGGTGGCATCGGCCCTCTCGAACGTGGCCTCAGGGCTGAGACCCCTGAGCGGAGCCGGTATCACACCAGCGCCACCCAGTGTCACCCCAGTGTCACCCCAGTGCCACCCCAGTGCCACCGCTTGTCTTGCCCAAGGTCACCCAACTGCCACCCAAGTGTTGCCCGATGAGTTGTCCAAGGATTGCATAAGGAATGCCCCAGAGCCGTTTGATTTTCATGCAAGGAATGCCCAAAACCCACCCAAGACCCTCCCAACCTTCACCCAAGGAACACCTAAGGAGCACCCAAGGAACACCCAAGGTTCACCTGACCTTCCTCCAAGGAAAGTCAAGGAACGCCCAAGGAACACCCAAAGAAGACCCAAAGAACATCCAAGGTTCACCTGATCTACACCAAGGAACACCCAAGGAACATCCAACCTTCACCCAAGCTTTACTCAAGCTCACCTTCACCTGAGGTCCACCAAGGAACACCCAAAACCCACCCAAGACCCTCCCAACCTTCACCCAAGGAACACCTGAGGAACAGCCAAGGAATGCCTGAGGGTCACCTGACCTTCCACCAAAGAAAGTCCAAGGAATACCCAAGGAATGCCCAAGGAACATCCAAAGAACACCCAAACAACACCCAAGGTTCACCTGACCTTCACCAAGGAACACCCAAGGAATACTCAAGGAACACCCAAGCAACATTTAAGGAACACCCAAGGAACACCTAAGGTTCACCCGACCTTCACTAAGGAACACCTAAGGAACACCCAAAGAACACCCAAGGAACACCTAAGGTTCACCCGACCTTCCTCCAAGGAACACCCAAAGAACACCCAAAGAACACCCAAGGAACGCCCAAGGTTTGCCTGATCTACACCAAGGAACACCCAAGGAACATCCAGCCTTCACTCAAGCTTTACTCAAGCTCACCTTCACCTGAGGTCCACCAAGGAACACCCAAAACCCACCCAAGACCCTCCTAACCTTCACCCAAGGAACACCTGAGGAACAGCCAAGGAATGCCTGAGGGTCACCTGACCTTCCACCAAAGAAAGTCCAAGGAATACCCAAGGAATGCCCAAGGAACATCCAAAGAACACCCAAACAACACCCAAGGTTCACCTGACCTTCACCAAGGAACACCCAAGGAATACTCAAGGAACACCCAAGCAACATTTAAGGAACACCCAAGGAACACCTAAGGTTCACCCGACCTTCACCAAGGAACACCCAAAGAACACCCAAGGAATGCCCAAGGTTTGCCTGACCTTCACCAAGGAACACCCAAGGAGCATCCAACCTTCACCCAAGCTTTGCTCAAGCTCACCTTCACCTGAGGTCCACCAAGGAACACCCAAACCCCACCCAAGACGCTCCACCAAAGCTCCACCCGAGGTTCCTCCAACCTCCCCCGACCTTCTCCCACCCTCCATGACCCCACACTTGCTTCTGGCTAGCCCGGTGCTGGGTGAGCGGTTCTGCTGGTCCCGCTTGGCCTTGATGTATCTGCAGCAGTCGAGGAAGGCGCGGACGCAGGACTCGCCCTCCTGGATGTACTCGGTCCTCTGCTCGCAGCTGTGTCCCATGGGGTTGTCCTTCATCCCGTCCTCGCAGCACTTCCTCTCCAGCTTGTCCGTGTACTCGGCCGCTGGTGGGCACCAGGACAGGGCTGGGACAAGCCCTGGTGGCTCTCGGGAATGGGGACCCCAGGGGTGTGGGACACTCTGGTGGCTCTTGGGAGTGGGGACATCGGGGGTGTGGGACACTCTGGTGGCTCTCAGGGATGGGGACATTTGGGACGTGGGACATAGGGAGTGTGGGACATTGTGGTGACTCTCAAGAACATGGGACACTGGTGGCTCTCAGGGACATGGGACACTCTGGTGTCTCTTGGGAATGGGGACATAGGGGGTGTGGGACACTCTGGTGGCTCTTGGGAGTGGGGACATCGGGGGTGTGGGACATTCTGGTGGCTCTTTGGGACATGGGGACCTCAGGGATGTGGGACACTCTGGTGGCTCTTGGGAATGGGGACATAGAGGGTGTGGGACACTCTGGTGGCTCTCAGGGATGTGGGACATTAGGGACGTGGGACACACTGGTGGCTCTTGGGAATGGGACTCTTGGGAATGTGGAACATCCTGGTGGCTCTCAGGAATGGGGACATTAGGAATATGGGACATTCCGGTGGCTCTGGAATGGGCCTCTTGGGGGTGTGGGACATTCTGGTGGCTCTCAAGAACATGGGACACTGGTGGCTCTCAGGGATGTGGGACACAGGTGTTGACTGGGACATGGGACACTCTGGTGGCTCTCAGGAATGGGGACATTAGGGATATGGGACATTCCGGTGGCTCTGGAATGGGACTCTTGGGGGTGTGGGACATTCTGGTGGCTCTCAAGAACATGGGACACTGGTGGCTCTCAGGGATGTGGGACACAGGTGTTGACTGGGACATGGGACACTCTGGTGGCTCTCAGGGACATGGGACACTGGTGGCCCTCTGGGACATGGGACAGTCTGGTCATCTTTGGGACACGGAACACTCTGGTGGCCCTCAGGGACGTGGGACAATTTAGCAGCCTCAAGAACAAGGAACACCCAGGTGACCTCAGGACAAGGGACACCTTGGTGACCCCAGGGACAAGGGACACCCAGGTGACCTCGAGGACAAGGGACACCCTGGTGACCCCAGGGGACAAAGAACACCCCAGTGCCACCTACCCTTGCTGCCCTTGTACTCAGCGAGTGCCAGCGAGCGGCGCTTGCGTTTGGCAGGCTGGGGACACTGCACCTCTGGGGACAGAGGGGACATCGGTCAGGACCCCAAAGTGTCCCACGTGTCACATCTCAAAGTTCAGGGTCACCTCCCCCATCCCTGAGGTGTCACCTCTCCCATCCCTGAAATGTCACATCCCTGAGGTGTCACCTCCCCCGTCCCTGAGGTGTCACTTCTCCCATCCCTGAAATGTCATATCCCTGAGGTGTCACCATCCCCATCTCCCTAAATGTCAACGCTCCCATTCTTGACGTGTCACATCCCTGGTCCCTGAGGTGGCACATGCTTGAAGTGCCACTTCCACCATCCCTGAGATGTCACCTCCCCCATCCCCAAGGTGTCACCTCCCCCATCCCTGAGGTCCCTCATGCTTGAAATGTCACCTCCACCATCCCTGAGATGTCACCTCTCCCATCCCCGAGGTGTCACCTCCACCATCCCTGAGATGCCACCTCTCCTATCCTCAAGGTGTCACCTCCACCATCCCTGACATGTCACCTCCCCCATCCCCAAGGTGCCACCTCCACCATCCCCGAGATGTCACCTCCACCATACCTGAAATGTCACCCCCACCATCTGAGATGTCACCTCCCCCATCCCCGAGGTGCCACCTCCTCCACCATCTCCTGTCACCCGCCCCATCCCCAAAGTGCCACCTCCCTGAGGTGCCACCTCCCAGAGGTGCCACCCCCTGTCCCCGAGATGCCACCCCAGCTGTCCCACCTGACCGCTGGGGCGTGGTGACCTTGACGCTGGTGGTCAGGCTCAGGCCAGCGTCCGCGAAGACCCCGACGTTGTCCCTGCCGCTGCCCGGCGTGCAGCCGATGTCACTTTTCTCCACCGTGTCCCAAACCTGCGCCCGCAGGGGACAGCTGTGACGGCCACTGCCACCACCCAGGGACAGCAGGACAGCTGTGACAGCCACATCCAAGGATGGTGGGGACAGCTGTGACGGCCACCGCCACCATCCAGGGACAATGGGGACAGTCATGATGGCCACCATCCAGGGACAGCAGGACAGCTGTGACAGCCACATCCAAGGATGGTGGGGACAGCTGTGGTGGCCACCACCAACACCCAGGGATGACAGGACAGCTGTGACAGCCACTGTTACCATCCAAGGACAGTGGGGACATCTGTGATGGCCACTGCCACCACCCAGGGACAGCAGGACAGCTGTGACTGCCACTGCCACCATCCATGGACAGTGGAGACAGTTGTGACAGCCACCGCCACCATCCAGGGATGATGGGGACAGTTGTGATGGCCACCACCAGGGGACAGCAAGGACAGGGACAGCCATGATGGCCACCACCAGGGGACAGCAGGGACAGGGCCAACCGTGCACTGTTCCCATCCAAGGACAGTGGGGACATCTGTGATGGCCACTGCCACCACCCAGGGACAGCAGGACAGCTGTGACAGCCACATCCAAGGATGGTGGGGACAGCTGTGACGGCCACCGCCACCATCCAGGGACAATGGGGACAGTCATGATGGCCACCATCCAGGGACAGCAGGACAGCTGTGACAGCCACATCCAAGGATGGTGGGGACAGCTGTGGTGGCCACCACCAACACCCAGGGATGACAGGACAGCTGTGACAGCCACTGCCACCATCCATGGACAGTGGGGACAGTTGTGACAGCCACCGCCACCATCCAAGGACAGTGGGGACAGCTGTGACTGCCACTGCCACCACCCAGGGACAGCAGGACAGCTGTGACTGCCACTGCCACCATCCATGGACAGTGGAGACAGTTGTGACAGCCACCGCCACCATCCAGGGATGATGGGGACAGTTGTGATGGCCACCACCAGGGGACAGCAAGGACAGGGACAGCCATGATGGCCACCACCAGGGGACAGCAGGGACAGGGCCAACCGTGATGGCCACCACCAGGAGATGATGGGGACATGGACAACTGTGATGGCCAGCACCCAAGAATGCTGGAGATGGCCACGACCATTCCTTGGGGACATCGAGGACAGGGCCACCCACCCCGGTCTGGGTGAGCTTGTTCTTCTTGCTGAGGACGAAGACGCCCTTGTCCACGGCCACCAGCCCCACGTGGGCCTTGTGGTCGCCCTCGATGCGCAGCCTCATCGGCGTCCCCGGCTCGTGGACACGGTTGTCACCTTCCGTCGCCCCCTTCACCACCAGCTGCCGCAGACACAGGAGGTGACGTCACCAGGATGTCCCCAAAAGACACTTTTGTCCCTCCCCACCACGGGAGAAGCCAAATTTGGACCTCCAGGGGCAGTTGGTGGCCATGGGCTTCATGTCTGGGCCATCACTGGACCACCAGGGCCACCAGGGCCACCTGGGCCACCTGGGTCACCTGGGTCACCCGGGAGATGTCCAAACTCCTCATGGAGTGTCCAAAACCACACAAGAGACACCAAATCCCCACCAGGGGCCACTCAGGTCCCTCAATGTCCCCCCCAAACCCTTCCAGATCTCTCAAGGACCTCCAGGTCCTTCGATGTCCCCCCCAAGCCCTTCAAGTGCCCCCAAGTCCCTCAAGGGCCCCCCCAGGCTCATCCAAATGTCCTCCAGGTCCCTCAAGGTCCCCTCAAGCCCTTCCAAAGTTCCCCAAGGATCTCAAGGTCCCCCAAACCCTTCCAAAGGTTCCCAGATCCCTCAAGGACCCCAGAAATCCCTCAAGGACCCCAAAAGCTCATCCAAATGTTCTCCGGGTCCCTCAAGGGCCCCCCAAGACCCCCAAGGGCCTCCCAGGTCCCTCAAGGACCCCCAAGGACCTCCCAGGTCCCTCAAGGGTACCCCCAAGCCCCTCATGGACCTCCCAAACCCCTCAAGGGTGCCCCAAGACCCTCAAAAGCCCCCAGGTCACTCAAGGCCACCCAAGTCCCTCATGGACCTCCAAGGTCCCTCAAGGGTCCCCCAAGTCCCTCAAAAGCCCCCTCAATGCCACCCAAATCCCTCAAGGACCTCCCAGGTCCCTCAAAGCCACCCAAGTCCCTCAAGGACCTCTCAGGTCTCTAAAGAAGCTCCCAAACCCCTCAAAAGCCCCCAGGTCACTCAAGGCCACCCAAGTCCCTCAAGGACCTCCCAGGTCCCTCAAGAAGCTCCCAAACCCCTCAAAAGCCCCCAGGTCACTCAAGGGTACCCCAAGCCCCCCATGGACCTCCCAAACCCCTCAAGGGTTCCCCAAGACCCTCAAAAGCCCCCAGGTCACTCAAGGCCACCCAAGTCCCTCAAGGACCTCCCAAACCATTCAAGAACATCCCAGGTCCCTCAAGGACCCCCCAAAAACCTCCAAGGCCTCCCAGACCCCTCAAAGGCCACCTCAAAGACCACCCCAGCCACCACCAAGGCCCATCCAATGTCTCCACGACCCCTTTGACCCCCCTGGGGCCGCCGGGGCACACTCACAGTGCCCATGCAGGTGTCCTTGACGTCCACCCAGACGGAGTCGGCCACGATCTCGCCGGGCAGGACGTAGTAGTAGGCCACGATGCGGAAGGACGGGATGAGCTCTGGCGTCACCGGCAGGGTCATGGTCACCAGGCTCTGGCCGGCCTCGTGCCGCTGCCGGCCGGCTCGGAGGATGCGTCCCTTGGTCATGATCTGCCAGAAACCCAACCTTGGTGGCCACCTGGACGCCCAGGTGGCCAAGCTGGAGGACAATGGGTCGACCGCGGGTACCCACCAGGTAGGTGAAGAACGGGACGGAGTTGCGGACGTTGTTGTTGGTGGTCTTGAGGTGGAAGTTCACGGCCAGGTTGTCCCCGGGCTGCAGCTCGGTGGCGGCCACCGCCAGGTGCAGGAAGTTGCCCGAGCCGGCCTGGCTGCGGTAGGCCTGGGCCGTCATCTGCCGCGAGGCCTGGCGCTCTGGTGGCAGCCCCGCCTGGGCCGTCCGCACCTGGGACAGGTGACACGGTGGCACTCGGTCAGCGGGGAGGGACATGGGCCTGGGCGGGGTCAGCATGGAGGGCTTGGCCACCACAGAGGTTCCATAGAGGTCTTGGCCTCCACAGAGGGCTTGGCCACCATAGAGGTTCCATAGAGGTCTTGGCCATTGTGGAGGTGTGTTGGTCATCATGGAGATTTTGGCCACCACAGAGGTCTTGGCCACCATGGAAGTCTTGACCACCATAGAGATTTTGGCCATCATGGAGGTCTTGGCCTCCACAGAGGTCTTGGCCACCATAGATGTCTTGGCCACCATGGAAGTCTTGGCCACCACAGAGGTCTTGGCCACCATAAAGGTTCCATAGAGGTCTTGGCCATCATGGAGGTGTCTTGGTCATCATGGAGGCCTTGGCCACCATGGAAGTCTTGGCCACCATGGAAGTCTTGGTGATCATGGAGGTCTTGGCCACCATAAAGGTTCCATAGAGGTCTTGGCCATCATGGAGGTGTCTTGGTCATCATGGAGGCCTTGGCCATCATGGCAGGCTTGGCCACCATAGAGGTTTTGGTTATCATGGAGGTCTTGGCCACCATAAAGGTTTTGGCCATTGTGGAGGTGTGTTGATCATCATGGAGATTTTGGCCACCATAGAGGTCTTGGCCACCATAGAGGTTTTGGCCATTGTGAAGGTGCCTTGGCCACCATAGAAGTCTTGGCCACCATAGAGATCTTGGCCACCATAAAGGTTTTGGCCGTTGTGGAGGTGTGTTGGTCATCATGGAGGCCTTGGCCACCACAGAGGTCTTGGCCATTGTGGAGGTCTTGGACACCACAGAGGTTTTGGTCATCATGGAGGCCTTGGCCACCATAAAGGTCTTGGCCATCATGGAGGTGTGTTGGTCATCATGGAGATTTTGGCCACCACAGAGGTCTTGGCCACCACAGAGGTCTTGGCCACCATAGAGGTATTGGCCATTGTGGAGGTGTCTTGGTCATCATGGAGGCCTTGGCCACCATGGAAGTCTTGGCCACCACAGAGGTTTTGGCTATCATGGAGGTCTTGGCCACCATAAAGGTTTTGGCCATTGTGGAGGTGTGTTGGTCATCATGGAGCCTTGGCTACCACAGAGGCCTTGGCCACCATAAAGGTCTTGGCCATCATGGAGGTCTTGGCCACCATAGAGATTTTGGCCATCATGGAGGCCTTGGCCACCACAGAGGTCTTGGCCACCACAGAGGTCTTGGCCATCATGGAGGTGTGTTGGTCATCATGGAGGCCTTGGCCACCATGGCAGTCTTGGCCATCACAGAGGTCTTGTCTGTCATGGTCTGTGTGCCCCTCCCTGGTGTCCTGGTCCTTGGTGACCATCTCCATGGTCAAACTGACCATCTTCTACCTTGGATGTCTTGGCCACTCAACCACTTGATCCCCCTGACCTTGGCCACCCTCAATGCCTTTTGTCTCCCTGGCTTTGACCATCCCAGTTCCTGGTCACTGGTCACCCTGGCCACATGCCACCATGGACAACTGACCACTGTGGACACCTTCATCAGCCTCTTTGACACCTGGTCATTGGTCACTCTCATGTCTTGGTCAACTCAGTTGAGTTGGCCACCATGGTCAGCCTGACCTAGGCTGTCTCCCTTGGCCAATGGTGACCAGGATAGCCCCAGTCCTTGGTCACTCTGGCCATCTCAGCCACCTCAATCCCCCGACCTTTGGTCACTCTGGACACCTTGACCACCACAGTCACCCCAACCACAGGGTGACCTTGGCCATCTTGGTTTTTGGCCAATGATGAGTGACCACAATGACCCTTGACCACCATGAGTGTCTCACGGTCACCCCAACCACAGGGTGACCTTGGCCATCTTGGTTTTTGGCCAATGATGAGTGACCACAATGACCCTTGACCACCATGAGTGTCCAGCCCATCCTGGTCTCCAGTCCTGCTGTCCTGACCCTTGGTCACCACCACCACGGGTCACTCAGGCCATCTCAGCCACCTCAGTCCCCCGACCTTTGATCACTCTGGACATCTTGTCCACCACAGTCACCTCAACCATGGGGTGACCTCAGTTTTTGGCCAATGATGAGTGACCATGATGACCCTTGACCACCACGGATGTCCAGCCCATCCTGGTCCCCAGCCCTGTTGTCCTGGCCCTTGGACATCCCAGGGGTCACTCCGGCCATCTCAGCCACCTCAACCCCTTGGTCACCTCAGCCATGGGGTGACCTCGGCCATCCTGGATTTTGGCCAATGATGAGTGACCACCATGACCCTTGACCACCACGGATGTCCAGCCCATCCTGGTCTCCAGTCCTGCTGTCCTGACCCTTGGTCACCACCACCACGGGTCACTCAGGCCATCTCAGCCACCTCAATCCCCCGACCTTTGGTCACTCTGGACATCTTGTCCACCACAGTCACCTCAACCATGGGGTGACCTCAGTTTTTGGCCAATGATGAGTGACCACCATGACCCTTGACCACCACGGATGTCCAGCCCATCCTGGTGCCCCAGTCCTGCTGTCCTGACCCTTGGACATCCCAGGGGTCACTCCGGCCATCTCAGCCACCTCAACCCCTTGGTCACCTCAGCCATGGGGTGACCTCGGCCATCCTGGATTTTGGCCAATGATGAGTGACCACCATGACCCTTGACCACCACGGATGTCCAGCCCATCCTGGTCCCCAGTCCTGCTGTCCTGACCCTTTGCCATCCCGTGGGTCACTCCGGCCATCTCGGCCACCTCAACCCGCCGGTCACTCCCCCACCCCTGGGCCACCCCGGCGGAGGTGACACCTGGTGACACTCACGGTGATGGGGACGCTGTCCTTGTTGGCCGGCATGTTGAGGACCAGCCTGGCGGTGCCATCGCGCTGCGTGGACACCTGGCCCTGGAAGCCATCGGCCTGGACGGTGACACGCGGCGCCGGGGACTGGTCGGGGTTGGTGACATAGACCTGGAGGGGACACCGGGGGACATTGCATGGGGACGTGGAGTCAGGGAAGGGCACGGGGAAGGGGTGGTGGCACTGGGAGGGGACACTGGGAAGGGGTGGTGGCACTGAGAAGGGGACACTGGGAGTGGGTGGTGGCACCAGGAAGGGGTGGTGACACTGGGAAGAGGTGGTGGCACTGGGAGGGGACACTGGGAAGGGGTGGTGGCACTGAGAAGGGGACACTGGGAGTGGGTGGTGGCACCAGGAAGGGGTGGTGACACTGGGAAGAGGTGGTGGCACTGGGAGGGGACACTGGGAAGGGGTGGTGGCACTGAGAAGGGGACACTGGGAGTGGGTGGTGGCACCAGGAAGGGGTGGTGACACTGGGAAGAGGTGGTGGCACTGGGAGGGGACACTGGGAAGAGGTGGTGGCACCAGGAAGGGGTGGTGGCACTGGGAGGGGACACTAGGAAGCGGTGGTGGCACCAGGAAGGGACACTGGGAAGGGTGGTGGCACTGGGAAGGGTGGTGGCATTGGGAGGGGACACTGGGAAGGGGTGGTGGCACTGGGAAGGGGTGGGGTGGTGGCACTGGGAGGGGACACTGGGAAGGGGTGGTGACCTGGGGAGAGGACACTGGGAAGGGGTGGTGGCACTGAGAAGGGGACACTGGGAAGGGTGGTGGCACCGGGAAGAGGTGGTGGCACTGGGAGGGGATGTTGACAGTGGAAGGGGACACTGGGAAGGGGTGGTGGCACTGAGAAGGGGACACTGGGAAGGGTGGTGGCACTGGGAAGGGTGGTGGCACTGGGAGGGGACACTGGGAAGGGTGGTGGCACCGGGAAGAGGTGGTGGCACTGGGAGGGGATGTTGACAGTGGAAGGGGACACTGGGAAGGTGTGGTGGCACTGGGATGGGGTGGTGGCACTGGGAGGGGACACTGGTAAGGGTGGTGGCACTGGGAAGGGTGGTGGCACTGGGAGGGGACACTTGGAAGGGGTGGTGGTACTGGGAAGGGGTGGTGGCATTGGAAGGGGACACTTGGAAGGGGTGGTGGCACTGGGAGGGGACACTGGCACCAGGAAGTGCCACCCCAGTGACATGGGGACAGCCCACGGTCCCCAGCCCCTCTCAGGTGACACAGGGACATCACCCAGGGACCAACTTCTCCTCCACCCCCAACCCCAGCTGTGCCCTGTCCCCATCCCAGACCAGGCCACCCCCCTGGGCCACCGCTGTCCCCAAGATGTCACCAACCGTGAGGTATGGTGGCACCAGGAAGGGGTGGTGGCATTGGAAGGGGTGGGGTGGTGGCACTGGGAAGAGGTGGTGGCACCAGGAAGAGGTGATGGCACCAGGAAGGGGTGGTGCCACCAGGAAGGAACACTGGGAAGGGGTGGTGGTACTGGGAAGAGGTGGTGGCATTGGAAGGGGACACTTGGAAGGGGTGGTGGCACTGGGAGGGGACACTGGGAAGAGGTGGTGGCACCAGGAAGGGGTGGTGGCACTGGGAGGGGACACTGGCACCAGGAAGTTCCACCCCAGTGACATGGGGACAGCCCACGGTCCCCAGCCCCTCTCAGGTGACACAGGGACATCACCCAGGGACCAACTTCTCCTCCACCCCCAACCCCAGCTGTGCCCTGTCCCCATCCCAGACCAGGCCACCCCCCTGGGCCACCGCTGTCCCCAAGATGTCACCAACCGTGAGGTCAAAGGGCATCCCCGGCTTGAAGTACTTGGGGGTGTGGGTGAAGTGGATGCTGTAGGGCGACGTCACGATTGGGATGCCACCACGCTGGGCCTCCACCATGTCACTGCCTGTGGGGACACGCGGTGACCGTGTCACCTGGTGTCCCCTCATTCTCACTGTCCCCCTGCCCCCCTCCATGTCACTGCCTGTGGGGACACGCGGTGACCGTGTCACCTGGTGTCCCCTCATTCTCACTGTCCCCCTGCCACCCTCCATGTCACTGCCTGCAGGGACACCGTGGTGGCCCTGTCACCTGGGTCCCTGTCCCTCCATCCTCACTGTCCCCCTGCCACCCTTCATGTCACTGCCTGCGGGGACACCGTGGTGTCCCTGTCACCTGGGTCCCTGTCCTTCCATCCTCACTGTCCCCCTGCCACCCTCCATGTCACTGCCTGCGGGGACACCGCGGTGGCCCTGTCACCTGGGGTCCCCCCATTCTCACTGCCCCTGTCCCCTCTGTGTCCCCCTGCCACCCTTCATGTCACTGCCTGTGGGGACACCACAGTGGCCGTGTCACCTGGGGTCCCCCCATTCTCACTGTCCCCCTGCCACCCGTCGTGTCACTGCCTGTGGGGACACCACAGTGGCCGTGTCACCTGTGGCCAGGGCTCCCTGTCCCCTGCCCAGACGGGTGGCCCCAGGTGTCCCCCCCCATCATCGCTGTCCCCAGACTCACATCGTGCTGTCCCCACTCTGTCCCCCCCATCCCCTCTGTCCCCCCCAGTCCCGTTGTCCCCTAGATTCCGCCACTGTCCCTGTCCCCCCGTGTCCCCTCGCTGTCCCTATCTCTCTTGTCCCCTTGCTGTCCTTGTCCCCAATATCCCACCACAGTCCCTGTCCCCGTGTCCCTTTGCTGTCCCTGTCCCCCTGTGTCCCCCCGTCCCCAAACTGTCCTTGTCCCCCCGTGTGCCCCCACAGTCCTTGTCCCCCTGTGTCCCCTCGCTGTCCCTGTGTCTCTTTGCTGTCCCTATCCCCCCATGTCCCCTCGCTGTCCCTGTCCCCAATGTCCCCCCCGAGTGGTGGTGCCAGGCTCACTGGGACAGGGACAGTGCCAGGGTTGGGGACAGTGACAGGGACGGTGCCAGGCTCACCGGGACAGGGACAGGGACAGGGACGGTGCCAGGCTCACCGGGATGGGGTTGGGGACAGGGTTGGGGACAGTGACAGTGACAGGGATGGTGCCGGACTCACCGGGACAGGGACAGGGACAGTGACAGTGCCAGGGACAGTGCCAGGCTCACTGGGACGGGGTTGGGGACAGGGCTGGGGACAGGAACAGTGACAGTGCCAGGGTTGGGGACAGTGACAGGGACAGTGCCAGGGACAGCGACAGGGACGGTGCCAGGCTCACCGGGACAGGGACAGTGACAGTGCCAGGGTTGGAGACAGTGACAGGGACGGTGCCAGGCTCACCGGGACAGGGACAGTGACAGGGACAGGGACAGGGACAGTGCCAGGGTTGGGGACAGTGCCAGGCTCACCGGGACGCGCTGCAGCGACTGGGGGATGCTCTTCTTCTCGTCGTCCACCATGATCCCGAAGAGGACAAAGGCTGTGCCCTCCACGCGCTTCCCGTACAGGTACCTGGGGACAGCCACCGTGACACCGTGTCACCATGCCACCATGTCACCATGTCACTGTGTCACTGTGCCACCATGTCACTGTGCCACCATGTCACTGTGTCACCATGTTACTGTGTCATCGTGTCAAGGTGCCATCATGCCACCATGTCGCCATGTCACTACGTCACCGTGTCACTGTGTCACTGTGTCACTGTGTCACCGTGTCACTGTCAACATGTCACTGTGCCACTGTGTCACCCTGTCACCCTGTCACTGTGCCACTGTGCCACCATGTCACTGTGTCCCCTGCACATCCCCCATTACAGCCATTCCTGTCCCCATAGCCACCGTGTCAGTGTGTCAGTGTGTCACCATGTCACTGTGTCACCCTGTCATCCTGTCACCCTGTCACTGTATCACTGTGTCACCGTGTCACTCTGCCCCCATGTCCCCATCCTGCCGCCCCTGTCCCTGTCATCCCACAATTGCCACCACCACCAATGTCCCCATGTCCCCATCCTGCCACCCCATCCCTGTCATCCCATCCTTGTCACCACCATTGTCCCCATGTCCCCATCCTGCCACCCCTGTCCCTGTCACCCCATCCCTGCCACCACCAATGTCCTCGTGTCCCCATGTCCCCATCCTGCCACCCCTGTCCCTGTCACCCCATCCCTGCCACCACCAATGTCCCCATGTCCCCATCCTGCCACCCCTGTCCCTGTCACCCCATCCCTGCCACCACCAATGTCCCCATGTCACCCCGTGTCCCCCTCCACGTGCCACCCCCAGGGACAGCAGCCGAGCACAGCTGTCCCCCGTCCCCCACGCAGGCGTGACCCCAAGGGGGACACCTCTGTCCCCAAAAGGGACATTTTGGGGTCACCTGGCCAGGATGGACACCCGGAAATCCGCCTGGCGGTCGATGTACAGGAACTTCTCCTCGGGATCCACGGACACCTCAAAGCTCGGCAGCACTGCGGGGTGACAACGGTGACACCGGACGGTGACACCGGCGACATGGCGACACCGCCACCCCTCGGGGACAGTCCCCGATGTCCCCAAGGCCACCCCCAGCCCTCACCCACCGTATTCCTTGACCTCGAATTGGGAGTTGAAAACCTGATCCGGGGAATCCTCGAATTTGGCCGAAATCGTCCACGTGCCCAGGCTGGGGGAGGTGACAGGGAGGTGACAGTGAGGTGGCAGCGCCGGGGGTGTCCCCAGGCCACCGCGGGGGACGGTGACACCCACCTGACGACCTCGGGCAGGTTGTGGTTGACGGTCAGGATCCCGTTTTTGGTCGGGGACGACACCGGGACTTGTTTGATGATGACGTTGTCGGGCGTCTGAGGGGACACGAGAATCCCACCTTGTCCCCTCGCTGTCCCTATCCCTGTGGGGGACACGGGGACAGGGTTAGGGACAGGGTTAGGGACAGCAGGGGGACAGCACGGCCTCGGTGTCACCGGCCAGAACCTGGGGACATAGGGACATAGGTGGGGACAGGGTTAGGACAGGCTTGGGGACAGCACAGGGACAGCACGGCCTCGACGTCACCGTCCTGAACCTGGGGACATGGGTGGGACAGTGTTGGGGACAGGCATAGGGATGGGGACAGGGACAATCCCAGAGTTGGGGACAGGGACAGGGACAGGGACAGTGTTGGGGACAGTGCCAGGCTCACCGGGACGGGGTTGGGGACAGGGTTGGGGACAGGGACAGTGACAGTGGTGGTGCCAGGCTCACTGGGACAGGGACAGTGCCAGGGTTGGGGACAGTGACAGGGACAGTGCCAGGGTTGGAGACAGTGACAGGGACGGTGCCAGGCTCACCGGGACAGGGACAGTGACAGGGACAGTGACAGTGACAGTGCCAGGGTTGGGGACAGTGCCAGGCTCACCGGGACGCGCTGCAGCGACTGGGGGATGCTCTTCTTCTCGTCGTCCACCATGATCCCGAAGAGGACAAAGGCCGTGCCCTCCACGCGCTTCCCGTACAGGTACCTGGGGACAGCCACCGTGACACCGTGACACCATGTCACCGTGCCACCGTGTCACTGTGTCACCGTGCCACTGTGCCACTGTGTCACTGTCACTGTATCAGTGTGTCACTGTGACACCGTGTCACCATGTCACCGTGTCACTGTGTCACCGTGCCACCATGTCACCATGTCACCATGTCACCGTGTCATCGTGTCAAGGTGCCATCATGCCACCGTGCCACCGTGACACTGTGTCACTGTATCACCATGTCACCGTGTCACTGTGTCACCGTGTCACCATGTCACCATGTCACCACATCACTGTGTCACCGTATCACCGTGTCACTGTGTCACTGTGTCACTCTGTCACTGTGTCATTCTGTCACTGTGTCACCCTGCCACCATGTCCCCTGCACATCCCCATTACAGCCATTCCTGTCCCCATAGCCACCGTGTCAGTGTGTCAGTGTGTCACCATGTCACTGTGTCACCCTGTCATCCTGTCACCCTATCACTGTATCACTGTGTCACTGTGTCACCGTGTCACTGTGTCCCCCTGTCACTTTGTCACTGTGTCCCTTACACATCCCCATTACAGCCCGTCCTGTCCTCACAGCCACTGTGTCACCCTGTCATCCTGTCACCCTGTCACTGTATCACTGTGTCACCGTGTCACTCTGCCCCCATGTCCCCATCCTGCCACCCCTGTCCCTGTCACCCCATCCCTGCCACCACCAATGTCCCCATGTCACCCCGTGTCCCCCTCCACGTGCCACCCCCAGGGACAGCAGCCGAGCACAGCTGTCCCCCGTCCCCCACGCAGGCGTGACCCCAAGGGGGACACCTCTGTCCCCAAAAGGGACATTTTGGGGTCACCTGGCCAGGATGGACACCCGGAAATCCGCCTGGCGGTCGATGTACAGGAACTTCTCCTCGGGATCCACAGACACCTCAAAGCTCGGCAGCACTGCGGGGTGACAACGGTGACACCGGCGACATGGCGACACCGCCACCCCTCGGGGACAGTCCCCGATGTCCCCAAGGCCACCCCCAGCCCTCACCCACCGTATTCCTTGACCTCGAATTGGGAGTTGAAAACCTGATCCGGGGAATCCTCGAATTTGGCCGAAATCGTCCACGTGCCCAGGCTGGGGGAGGTGACAGGGAGGTGACAGTGAGGTGGCAGCGCCGGGGGTGTCCCCAGGCCACCGCGGGGGACGGTGACACCCACCTGACGACCTCGGGCAGGTTGTGGTTGACGGTCAGGATCCCGTTTTTGGTCGGGGACGACACCGGGACTTGTTTGATGATGACGTTGTCGGGCGTCTGAGGGGACACGAGTGGGGCACCGTGTCACCCGTGTCACCCGTGTCACCCTGTGTCACCCGTGTCACCCTGTGTCACCTGTGTCACCCCAGGGCTCTCACCTTGACCTCCACGATGACCGTCTTGGCTACCGGCTGCATGAGGTGGCCCACGGTGAAGAGGCGGCAGAGCACTGGGGGGGACACAGGGGACAAAGTGAGAGGGGACACAGGGGACAAGGGGAGAGGGGACACAGGGGACAAGGGGAGAGGGGACACAGGGGACAAGGGGAGAGGGGACACAGGGGACAAGGGGAGAGGGGACACAGGGGACAAGGGGAGAGGGGACACAGGGGACAAGGGGAGAGGGGACACAGGGGACAAGGGGAGAGGGGACACAGGGGACAAGGGGAGAGGGGACACAGGGGACAAGGGGAGGGGACAAGGTGATGAGACACTGGACAAGGTGAAAGGGGACAGAGGGGACAAGGTGAGGGGGGACACAGGGGACAAGGTGAGGGGACAAGGTGAGTGGGGACACAGGGGACAAAGTGAGAGGGGACACAGGGGACAAGGTGAGAGAGGACAAGGTGAGAGGGGACAAGGGACAAGGTGAGGGGACACAAGGGACAAGGGGACAGGGGACACACAGGACAAGGTGAGAGGGGACACAGGGGACAAGGTGAGGGGACAAGGTGATGAGACACTGGACAAGGTGAAAGGGGACAGAGGGGACAAGGTGAGGGGACATGGGACAAGGTGAGAGGGGACACAAGGGACAAGGGGAGAGGGGACACAAAGGACAAAGTGAGAGGGGACAAGGTGAGGGGACACAGGGACAAGGTGAGGGAGCACAAGGGACAAGGTGAGAGGGGACACAGGGGACAAGGTGAGGGAGCACAAGGGACAAGGTGAGGGGACAAGGTGAGGGGACACGTGGGAACAGCCAGCACTGAGAGGTGACACAGGGGACAATGTGAGGAGGGACAGGGCAGGGACACTGGGTCCCAGTGGGGACATCACAGTGAGGTCCCCAAATGGGTGACACTGGCACCCCAAGGTGCCACCATCGCCCTGAGGTGTCACAGAAGGGTGACACAGCACCCCGAGGTGTCCCCAGCCCCCCGAGGGGTCACAGGGAGGTGCCACCATCACCCTGAGGTGTCCCCAAGCCCCCACGGTGTCCCCAGCCCTCAAGATGTCCCAGCACCCCGAGGTGTCCCCACGCCTGTGAAGTCCCCACAGTGTCCCCATCCCCTCAATGTCCCCACAGTGTCCCCATCACTTCAATGTCCCCACAGTGTCCCCATCCCCTCAATGTCCCCACAATGTTGCCCTCCCTGTGGAGTTCCCACGGTGTCCCCAGCTGTCCCCAGCTGTCCCTGCAGTGTTCCCGTGGTATTTCTGGGTGTCCCCAGCTGTCCCTGGATGTCCCCAGCTATCCCTGCAGTGTTCCTGCAGTGTCCCCACGGTGTCCCCGTGGTGTCCCCAGCTGCTCCTGGATGTCCCCAGCTGTCCCTGCAGTGTCCCCACAGTGTCCCCAGCTGTCCCTGGTGTCCCCAGCTGTCCCCAGCTGTCCCTGCAGTGTCCCCACAGTGTCCCCAGCTGTCCCTGGTGTCCCCAGCTGTCCCTGCAGTGTCCCCCATCGCCCTGAGGTGTCACAGAAGGGTGACACAGCACCCCGAGGTGTCCCCAGCCCCCCGAGGGGTCACAGGGAGGTGCCACCATCACCCTGAGGTGTCCCCAAGCCCCCACGGTGTCCCCAGCCCTCAAGATGTCCCAGCACGCCGAGGTGTCCCCACGCCTGTGAAGTCCCCACAGTGTCCCCATCCCCTCAATGTCCCCACAATGTTGCCCTCCCTGTGGAGTTCCCACGGTGTCCCCGGTGTCCCCAGCTGTCCCCAGCTGTCCCTGGATGTCCCCAGCTATCCCTGCAGTGTTCCTCCCATGTCCCCACGGTGTCCCCGTGGTGTCCCCAGCTGCTCCTGGATGTCCCCAGCTGTCCCTGCAGTGTCCCCACAGTGTCCCCAGCTGTCCCTGGTGTCCCCAGCTGTCCCCAGCTGTCCCTGCAGTGTCCCCACAGTGTCCCCAGCTGTCCCTGGTGTCCCCAGCTGTCCCTGCAGTGTCCCCCAGTTGTCCCTGCGGTGTCCCCACAGCGTCCCCGCGGTGTCCCTGGATGTCCCCAGCTGTCCCCAGTGTCCCTGCAGTGTCCCCATGTGTCCCTGCAGTGTCCCCAGCTGTCCCTGTGGTATCCCCAGCTGTCCCCAGCTGTCCCTGCAGTGTCCCCAGCTGTCCCCGGTGTCCCTGCAGTGTCCCCGTGTCCCCAGCTGTCCCTGCAGTGTCCCGGTGTCCCTGCAGTGTCCCGGTGTCCCCGGTGTCCCCAGCTGTCCCTGCAGTGTCCCCGTGTCCCTGATGTCCCCGGTGTCCCTGTGGTTTCCCCAGATGTCCCCAGCTGTCCCCGTGTCCCCGGTGTCCCCAGTGTGCCTGCACTGTTCCCTGTGTCCCCAGTGTCCCTGCAGTGTCCCGGTGTCCCTGTGGTTTCCCCAGATGTCCCCAGCTGTCCCTGTGTCCCCGGTGTCCCCAGTGTGCCTGCACTGTTCCCTGTGTCCCCAGTGTCCCTGCAGTGTCCCGGTGTCCCTGTGGTTTCCCCAGATGTCCCCAGCTGTCCCCGTGTCCCCGGTGTCCCCAGTGTGCCTGCACTGTTCCCTGTGTCCCCAGTGTCCCTGCAGTGTCCCCCGGTGTCCCCGTGCGTCACCGGTGCTGCCGGGGGTGTAGATGGGCTTGTCGGTCTGCACGAAGATGTGGCCGCTCTGCAGGGACACCAGCAGCACCTTCTCCAGTGTCACCGCGGCCACCCGCGCTGTCACCGTCACAAACTGCTTCCCCTGCGCCTGCGGCAGCGCCTTGGCCGGCACCTGCGGGGACAGGGACACTGGGGACAGGGACAGGGACACTGGGGACAGGGGACAATGGGGACACCTGCGGGGACAGGGACACTGGGGACAGGGACAGGGACACTGGGGGCAGGGACACTGAGGACAGGGGAGAATGGGGGATGGTGACAGTGGCCAGAGGGGGGTGACACTGACTAGAAGAGGGGGGTGACACTGACCAGAGGGGGATGACAGTGACCAGGGAATGGCAGTGACCAGGGGGTGGTGACAGTGACCAGAGGGGGGTGACAGTGACCAGGAGATGGCAGTGACCAGGGGATGGCAGTGATCAGGGGGTGGTGACACTGACCAGAAGAGGGTGGTGACAGTGACCAGAGGGGGGTGACAGTGACCAGGAGATGGCAGTGACCAGGGGATGGCAGTGACCAGGGGATGGTGACAGTGACCCGGGAATGGTGACAGTGACCAGGGGATGGCAGTGACCAGAGGATGGTGACAGTGACCAGAGGGGGATGGCGGTGACCAGAGGGGGGTGACAGTGACCAGAAGAGAGTGGTGACAGTGACCAGAGGGTGGTGACAATGACCAGGGGGTGGTGACACTGACCAGAGGGGGGTGGTGACAGCGTACCTTGATGGTGGCCGTGGCCATCATGCCCTGCGCCGGGCTCAGGGCCACGCGGCTCTGGAACAGGACCTGGCGCTTCTGGGGGAAGTCCTGGACCAGCAGCGAGGCCTCGGTGGCCGCGCTCAGCCCGGGGGCCTCCAGCACCACCTGCTCGTCCGTCTCCAGCCGCAGCACGGCCGGGGTCACCATGGTCACCCTGCGGACACCACCGCGCTGTCACCGGGCGCCGGCGGTGGCACGGCGCCCAGAAACACCAAAATCTGTCCCCAAAGCAGCTTGGGGACCTCAGAAACACCAAAATCTGTCCCTAAAACAGCTTGGGGACTTCAGAAACACCAAAATCTGTCCCCAAAGCAGCTTGGGAACCTCAGAAATCCCAAAATCTGTCCCTAAAACAGCTTGGGGACCTCAGAAACACCAAAATCTGTCCCCAAAGCAGCTTGGGAACCCCAGAAATCCCAAAATCTGTCCCTAAAACAGCTTGGGGACCTCAGAAACACCAAAATCTGTCCCTAAAACAGCTTGGGGACCTCAGAAACACCAAAATCTGTCCCTAAAACAGCTTGGGGACCTCAGAAACACCAAAATCTGTCCCTAAAACAGCTTGGGGACCTCAGAAACACCAAAATCTGTCCCTAAAACAGCTTGGGGACCTCAGAAACACCAAAATCTGTGCCCGCAGAGCCCAGGGGACCTCACAGCACCCAGAAACACCAAAGTCTATCCCAATATCAACTTGGGGACCTCAGAAACCCCAAAATCTGTCCTGATATCACCTTGGGGAACTCAGAAACCCCCAAATGTGTCCCTAAAGCAGCTTGGGGACCTCAGAAACCCCAAAATCTGTGCCCACAGAGCCCAGGGGACCTCACAGCACCCAGAAACTCCAAAACCTGTCCTTAAAGCAGCTCGGGGACCTCAGAAACCCCAAAATCTGTCCCAATATCAACTTGGGGAACTCAGAAACCCCAAAATCTGTCCTGATATCACCTTGGGGAACTCAGAAACCCCCAAATGTGTCCCTAAAGCAGCTTGGGGACCTCAGAAACCCCAAAATCTGTGCCCACAGAGCCCAGGGGACCTCACAGCACCCAGAAACTCCAAAACCTGTCCTTAAAGCAGCTCGGGGACCTCAGAAACCCCAAAATCTGTGCCCACAGAGCCCTGGGAACCTCAGAGCACCCAGAAACACCAAAATCTATCCCAATATCAACTTGGGGACCTCACAAAACATTGGGGACCTCAGAGCACTCAGAAACCCCAAAATCTGCCCCCAAAGCAGCTTGGGGACCTCAGAAACCCCAAAATCTGTCCCAATATCATCTTGGGAACCTCGGAAACACCAAAATCTGTGCCCACAGAGCCCTGGGAACCTCAGAGCACCCAGAAACACCAAAATCTATCCCAATATCAACTTGGGGACCTCACAAAACATTGGGGACCTCAGAGCACTCAGAAACCCCAAAATCTGCCCCCAAAGCAGCTTGGGTACCTCAGAAACCCCAAAACCCCAGAATCTGTCCTGATATCACATTGGGGACCTCTGAAACCCCAATATCTGTCCCCAGAGCACCTTGGGGACCTCACAGGACACAAAAACCCCAAAATCTGTCCCAATATCACCTTGGGCACCTCAAAAACCCCAAAATCTGTCCTGATATCGCCTTGGGAACCTCAGAGCACCCAGAAACCACAAAATCTGCCCCCAAAGCAGCTTGGGGACCTCAGAAATTCCAAAATCTGTCCCCACAACATCTCGGGGACCTCACAAAGCCTCGGTGACCTCAGAGCACCCAGAAACCCCAAAATCTGTCCCCACAGTACCTTAGGGACCTCACAAGACACAAAACCCTAAAATGTGTCCCAATATCACCTTGGGAACCTCAGAAACACCAAAATCTGTGCCCATAGAGCCCTGGGAACCTCAGAGCACCCAGAAACCCCAAAGTCTGTCCCCACACTACCTTGGGGACCTCACAAGACACAAAACCCCCAAAATTAGTCCCAATATCACCTTGTGGCAGCCAGAAACCCCAAAATCTGTCCCAATATCACCTTGGGGACCTCAGACAACCCAGAAACCCCCAAATCTGTCCCCAAAGCAGCTTGGGGACCTCACAAAGCCTTGGTCACCTCAGAGCACCCAGAAACCCCAAAATCTGTCCCTGTATCACCTTGGGGACCTCAGAGCACCAAACCCCAAGAATCAGTCCCCAAAGCACCCATGGGTGGGAGGTTCCAGAAAAGGGGATCCCGTGGGGGTCCCATGGGTGGGGGTCCCATGGGTGGGGTTGGGTGAGGGTCCCTTTGGTGGGGTTGGGTGGGGGTCCCATGGGTGGGGTTGGGGGGTCCCATGGGTGGGGGTCCCCAGTGTCTCACAGCTGTGCGCGGGCGGGGGTCCCGAGCAGCACCAGGACTCCGAGGAGGAGGAAGAGGAGGGGGCGATGAGGAGGGGGCGGCAGCGCCGGAGCCCCCATGGCCGCAGGGAGGGGACAGCGACAGCGACAGCGACAGCGACGGGGGGGTCCCTTTATGGTGGCCCCGGTGGTTAATGGGTAACCCGAGCCCTGCCCCCACCCATGGGTGGGGGTGGGGGGGGGGTTGGGACCTGGGTGACCTCCAGGACCTTTGGTAGGACCTGGACAACTGGGGTCCACCTGGACATGGACACCTGGGTCCATCCTGAGAGACCTGACAGGTCCTGGGTCACCTCCTGGAACTTTGGTAGGACCTGGACACCTGGATCTGGACACCTGGGTGACCCCTGACAGGACCTGGGCCACCTCCAGAACCTCTGGTGGGACCTGGACAATTGGGTCACCTCCTGAGCCTGGACATCTGGGTCCATCCTGAGACTCCTGAAAGGACCTGGGTCACCTCCTGGAGCTGTGGTAGGAGCTGGACAATTGAAATCACCTGGACCTGGGTCCCTCTGGTGACCCCTGAAAGGACCTGGGTCACCTCCAGAACCTTTGGTAGGAGCTGCACACGGGTTCAGCCTGAAACCCCTCAAACAACCTGGGTCACCTCCAGGACCCCTGGTAGGACCTGGACGACTGGGTCACCTCCTGGGCCTGGACACTTTGGTAGGAGCTGGACACCTGGATCTGGACATCTGGGTGACTCCTGGTGGGTCCTGGGTGACCTCCTGGACCTCTGGTAGGAGCTGGACGCTTGGGGTCCACCTGGACCTGGACACCTGGGTCCATCCTGAGACCCCTGACAGGTCCTGGGTGACCTTCTGGACCCCTGGTAGGACCTGGACACCTGGATCTGTACACCTGGGTGACCCCTGAAAGGACCTGGGTGACTCCTGGTGGGACCTGGGTGACCTCCAGGACCTTTGGTAGGACCTGGACAACTGGGGTCCACCTGGACATGGACACCTGGGCCCATCCTGAGACCCCTGAAAGGACCTGGGTCACCTCCAGGACCCCTGGTGGGACCTGGACGACTGGGTCACCTCCTGGGCCTGGACATCTGGGTCCATCCTGAGACCCCTGACAGGTCCTGGGTCATCTTCTGGAACTTTGGTAGGACCTGGACACCTGAATCTGCACACCTGGGTGACCCTGATGGGTCCTGGGTGACCTCCTGTACCTCTGGTAGGATCTGGACGCTTGGGGTCCACCTGGACCTGGACACCTGGGTCCATCCTGAGACCCCTGAAAGGTCCTGGGTTACCTCCTGGAACTTTGGTAGGACCTGGACACCTGGATCTGGACAGCTGGGTGACCCCTGACAGGACCTGGGCCACCTCCAGAACCTCTGGTGGGACCTGGACAATTGGGTCACCTCCTGAGCCTGGACATCTGGGTCCATCCTGAGACTCCTGAAAGGACCTGGGTCACCTCCTGGAGCTGTGGTAGGAGCTGGACAATTGAAATCACCTGGACCTGGGTCCCTCTGGTGACCCCTGAAAGGACCTGGGTCACCTCCAGAACCTTTGGTAGGAGCTGCACACGGGTTCAGCCTGAAACCCCTCAAACAACCTGGGTCACCTCCAGGACCCCTGGTAGGACCTGGACGACTGGGTCACCTCCTGGGCCTGGACATCTGGGTCCATCCTGAGACCCCTGAAAGGTCCTGGGTCATCTTCTGGAACTTTGGTAGGACCTGGACACCTGAATCTGCACACCTCCTGGTTGGATCTGAACATCCTGAGACCCCTGAAAGGTCCTGGACACCCTCCTGCACCCCCTGGGCCACCATATCCAAGTCACCTGGACCCCCTGGGCCACCTGGGCCACCATGTCCAGAACGCCTGCACCCCTTGGGTCACCATGTCCAGGCCACCTTGATCCTTCCTGGACCCTTTGGGCCACCTGGATCCCCTGGGCCATCATGTCCAGCCCACCTGGACCCCCTCCTGGACCCCCTGGACCACCATGTCCAGCCCACCTGGACCCCCTGGGCCACCATGTCCAGCCCACCTGGACCCCTCCTGTGACCTTGTCCCATCTCCATGCCCCAGAAGCGCAGATCCCCCCTCGTGTCCCTTGTCCCCCGATTGTCCCCTTGTCGCCACCACCGCCGTGGTGGCAGCTCCTCCCTGGTGCCACCGCCGTGACAGGAAGCCACCCAGGAGCCACCACCCCGGGCCCAGTTCCCGTTGTCCCCCGCGGCACCTCCGGGGCGCAGGCGCGCCACCTCCGTCGTCCCCTGTGTCACCTCCGGGGCGCGGGCGTGTGACACTCCCGCCACCCTCCAGGCCGGGCCACCAGCGCTGACCACGCCAGGGGGCCCACCAGGCCACCGGACCTTCTCCAGCCGTGGGGGAAGCAGGAGGAGCCCACCGGGATCGTCCGGACGCGGCGGTGGGACGGGGACCGACATTTGTCACTTGTCACCGGTGGTGGCCCCACAGGGCCCCAGCGCCTCCGGTTCCTCCCTTTCCTGGGGGGAAGGGACCTCCTGCGCCGTGGGAGGTGCCCCAGAAGCGTTTGGGGGTGCTGAGATTTGTCCAGGGGTCAGCCAGTGGTTGTCCAGTGGTCATCCAGTGGTCATCCAGTGGTCATCCAGGGGTCATCCAGCAGCTCCTTGCTGGATGTGGTCCTGCCAAGGCCACACAAGGCGGGGCCTCACCTGGTGCTGCTCTGGGCAGGAGCGGTGACACGGATCCCATCTCCACCGGGATCTCATCTCCACCAGGATCCCATCTCAACTGGGATCTCATCTTCACCAGGATCTCACCTCCATTGGGATCTCACCTCCATTGGGATCTCATCTCCACTGGGATCTCATCTCCATTGGGATCTCATCTCAACTGGGATCTCATCTCCACCAGGATCTCATCTCCATCAAGATCTCACATCCATCAGGATCTCATCTCCACTGGGATCTCACATCCATCAGGATCTCATCTCCACCAGGATCCCATCTCAACTGGGATCTCATCTTCACCAGGATCTCACCTCCACTGGGATCTCATCTCCACAGGGATCTCACCTCCATCAGGATCTCACATCCATTGGGATCTCATCTCCACTGGGATCTCATCTCCACCGGGATCCCATCTCCATCAGCTCCTGGCCAGAAGTTGATGATTGGACCCTCTTCCATCGGCTCCTCCCCAGAAATTCATCCTGCCAGGACCCACCTCCACTGAAGTTCACCCCACCAGGACCCACCTCCAAAAAGTTCATCCCGCCAGGACCAATCTCCACCAGCTCCTCCACTGAAGTAGATCCCACCACGACCCAACTCCACTGAAGTTCATCCTGCCAGGACCCACCTCCATTGAAATTCACCCTGCCAGGACCCACCTCCTCCAGTTGCTCCATTTAAATTCATCCCACCAGGACCCACCTCCATTGGCTCCTTCCCAGAAGTTCATCCTGCCAGGACCCAGCTCCATTGACATCCATCCCACCAGGACCAAACTCCACAGAAATTCATCCTGCCAGGACTAAACTCCCCAGAAATTCATCCCACCAGGACCCAGCTCCCCAGAAATTCATCCCAGCAGCACCAAATTCCACAGAAATTCATCCTGCCAGGACCCAACTCCCCAGAACTTCATCCCACCAGGACCGAACTCCACAGAAATTCATCCTGCCAGGACCCAGATCCATTGACATCCACCCTACCAGGAGCCACCTCCACAGAAATTCATCCTGCCAGGCCCAAGTCCCATGAACTTCATCCCACCAGGAGCCACCTCCACAGAAATTCATCCTGCCAGGACCCAGCTCCATTGACATCACCCCACCAGGACCCACCTCCCCAGAAATTCACCCCACCAGGACCCAAATCCCCAGAAGTTCATCCCACCAGGACCAAACTCTACAGAAATTCATCCCAGCAAGACCCACTCCCCAGAAATTCATCCCACCAGGACCTACTCCCACAGAAATCCATCCCACCAGGACCCAGCTCCATTGACATCATCCCACCAGGACCCACCTCTCCAGAAATTCACCCCACCAGGACCCAAATCCCCAGAAATTCACCCCACCAGGACCCACCTCCACTGAAGTCCACCCCACCAGGACCCACCTCCTCTGAAGTCCACCCCCCCAGGAGCCACCTCCACCCTCTCGTCCCCATGGAGGTGTGGCGGCAGTGTGCCCACTGGCTGGTGGCCGCGCGCGTGCTGCCGGCGGGACACCGGGCCAGCAGCCCCGGGGGACAGGTGTGGGACCTGGCGCAGGCGCTGCGCGACGGCGTCCTGCTGTGCCACCTGCTCAACGCCCTCCTGCCCCGCGCCGTGCCGCCCCGGGACATCTGTCCCCGGCCACAGATGTCACAGGTGAGACCCGAGGTGGGGACAGTGGGGCTGGGCCAGGGAGGGGCACAGGGGTGTGACAATGGCCCCAGGATCACAACCATGGAGAGACAAAGGCGCTGATTTTGATGGTGACAACGGGGGGTGGCAGTGATGACAGGGGTGACACTGGTGATGGTGGCACTGGTGACACTGGTGACACTGGTGCCACCACAGTTCCTGTGCCTGAGGAACATCCGCACCTTCCTGACCGCCTGCGCTGACAAATTCGGGCTCCCCAAGCACCGGCTCTTCGGCGCCTTCGACCTCTTCGATGTCCAGGACTTCGGCAAGGTGGGGTCAGGGGTCCAGCTGTCCAGGGGGGGTGGGCCCCAGGGGTCCGGGTCACCCCTCATGCCCCCGATGTCACCTCTGTGTCCCCAGGTGATCGAGACGCTCTCAACGCTCTCCTGGACCCCCATTGCGCAGAGCAAAGGATTCACGTGAGTGGACAGGGCTCAGGTGTCCATCCCTCGGGGTCCAGGTGTCCAGTCCCTGAGGGTCAATGGTGTCCAGTCCCTGATGTCCAGTCCCCAAGGGTCAATGGTGTCCAGTCCCTGAGGGTCAGTGGCATCCAGTCCCCAGTGTCCAGTCCCCAAGGGTCAGTGGCATCCAGTCTCTGGTGTCCAGTCCCTGAGGGTCAGTGGTGTCCAGTCCCAGTGTCCAGTCCTGGTGTCCAGTCCCTGGTGTCCAGTCCCCAGTGTCCAGTCCCCAAGGGTCAGCAGTGTCCAGTCTCTGGTGTCCAGTCCTGGTGTCCAGTCCCAGTATCCAGTCCCAGTGTCCAGTCCCCAAGGGTCACTGCTGTCCAGTCCCAGTAGCCAGTCCCAGTGTCCAGTCCTGGTGTCCAGTCCCAGTGTCCAGTCCCAGTGTCCAGACCTGGTGTCCAATCCAGTGTCCAGTCCCGGTTTCCAGTCCCACTGTCCAGTCCCGGTGTCCAGTCCCAGTGTCCAGTTCCCCGAGGGTCAGCCGTATCCAGTCCCAGTGTCCAGTTCCCTGAGGGTCAGCGGTGTCCAGTCCCAGTGTCCAGTTCCCCGAGGGTCAGCCGTATCCAGTCCCAGTGTCCAGTCCCAGTGCCCAGTTCCCTGAGGGTCAGAGGTGTCCAGTCCTGGTATCCAGTCCCAGTGTCCAGTCCCGGTGTCCAGTCCCAGTGTCCAGTCCCAGTGTCTAATCCCCAAGGGTCAGTGGTGTCCAGTCCCTGGTGTCCAGTTCCCCAAGGGTCAGTGGTGTCCAGTCCCATTGTCCAGTCCCGATGTCCAGTCCTGGTGTCCAGTCCCAGTGTCCAGTTCCCCGAGGGTCAGCCGTGTCCGGCCGTGTCCCCCCAGGCCATTCCCGTCCGAGGACAGCGTTGGGGACGATGACATTTACAGCGGCCTCTCCGACCTCATCGAGTGAGTGGGGGCCACTGGGGGCTACTGGGGGCCGTCCAGTCCCAGTGTCTAATCCCCAAGGGTCAGTGGTGTCCAGTCCCTGGTGTCCAGTTCCCCAAGGGTCAGTGGTGTCCAGTCCCATTGTCCAGTCCCGATGTCCAGTCCTGGTGTCCAGTCCTGGTGTCCAGTCCCATTGTCCAGTCCCAGTGTCCAGTCCCATTGTCCATTCCCATTGTCCAGTCCCATTGTCCAGTCC